TGGTGGTGCCAAGCAATAGAACAAAAAGCATTGGGCACAAACTGACACACAGAGAGCTCCACCTGAACATGAGGAAGAAATTCATTACTGTGTGGTGACAGAGCACTGGAGCAGATGGAACAGAAGGGTTGTGGAGTCTTCCTCACTGGGGATATTCATGAACTGCCTGGACACAATCCTGTGCCATGTGCTCTGGGATGACCCTGCTTGAGCAAGGAGGCTGGGCCAGATGACCTCCTGTGGTCTTTACCAACCTGACCTGTCCTGTGATTCTGTGATTCTCTCACCTTGCACTCATGATGCAGCACAATACAACACTTGTCATTCAATGAACAAATGGCTGGAATGAAGGAAATAGCTGTAGTCCACATCATACTTTTGAAGAATGGATAATGGCATCCATACCTAAACATTGGCTGAAGTACAAAGCCTACTATCAAAAAGTGTTTCAAAGACCAAAATGAAATGGAACAAAGGGACTTTGTCCTCGGCAGGGTTGAAAAAGGCATCCAGAGTACTTACAGCATACAAAAACGAACAAGGAGGATTGCGCCAAGTAATAGTGGATGAAAGTCATCACTGTCAAAGCCAGTTACTACACTGTGACTATTGGTCAATGACAACAACTGTTCCTATGCACAGGAACAGTTTCATGTGTGTACACTGCAGAGGCTGCTTGGAGGGATAGCTTCTACCTGCATCCCTGAAAATACACAACAGGTGTACTCACCAGCACTACTGATCTCCAAGCAAAGCACAATCTGTTTGGAAAGTCTTAACCACAAAAACTGAATTAAGGACACGTGAAAATTAAATTTTAGAAGCATAGCATCTTAACAGAAAGTTATGAATGTTTTCATAGCCAGGAGGAAGGCAGCATTACAGTTCCTCACCAGGACAAAGACGAGCAAAATTACTTGTCTGTTCTCAGTGAGAAACAAAATGAAACAATCCCAGAAGTAAGTTACCTGTAATATTGGGGAAGATAAATAATGATTCAGTTTTGACTTGTATTATATCAGCCTTTCAACCACCTGTGTCTGCAAGGACTACCAACCCCAGTGCCTTACTTCTGCAGGAGGCATTTCATCTGGAGGTTTGCAGTTGGCAATAGGTGAGAGGTCAAAAAAATCAGTAAAGTATGTACTTATGGTCTAGAAACCATAGCAAATTTGTGAAAACTTTACCACAAATTCTATAAAGGGCTTCACCCAACACTGTTGATTACTAAGGAGAGTAAATTGTCAGCACCCTCAAGTGTTTCAGGACTTGAAAGTGGTATGCTTCAGCAAGAACTGAATGTGTTCATATCACAGAGGGAAACAATATAGATGCTGGGCATGGTATTCAGGAGACAGGAAGCATCTGAATTTAAGGTGTGAAAAAGCAAATCTTGTCTTTGAAAGACAAAAAAAGGGTCTTTCCTGAGGCACGGATATGATCTCCCTGAGGGATCTGTGTTATCTCAGCTGGAAAGAGACATTTGGGCAGAGAACTGAGTTCACTGGGATGGGAGACTTCCATAATGAATATTCTGAACAGAGTTTACTTTTGGCTGATCCCTCTAAAAATCATTCTTCCTTCTGTAGTAGTGTCTCTCTGCTTCCTTTCCTCTTTGTAAACAAAGGTTTGATGACCTGTGCTCTTCTGGTCTTTTGGACAATATGATTTTTACTTCTTTATGTGTTTGTATTTCTGTCCCACAGAGGTTTTTGGCTGCATTCAGAAGAGAAGGAATAGAGTAGCTCTAAAAATGGCAATTCTGTGCTCGTCTCTGCATTCCCTGTTTTTATGCATTCACTAGTGCTGTTCTTGCTGGCCTGAACTGTCCCCACACTGGTGAGAAGGCTCATGTGGTATTGCCTAATGCCATTACACAGGCTCAAGCATACTGCTTTGCTGGGCAAGCCCCTGCTCTGCTTTGCTCTCTGCTTAAAAAAAAAAAAACAACAAAAAAACCAACCAACCAAACAACAACAACAAAACAACCAAAAAGTGCCTGTGAGATCCTATATGCACAGCTGGATTTGATTTTCTGTTATTTGTATGTAGTGGGTTAACAGTGAGATTTTTCTTTTTTTGGTAATAAAATCACTAGGTTGTGTGCCATTACTTGAAAACTGACTCCATGAGTGTTTCAGAAGGTGAAGTGTTTTAACAAGCATTCACCAATGTTATTGGCTATTTATTCAAACCAATAATTTATGCTTTAAAAAAACCCAAATGAACCAGCATGTTGACAAGGGTGGGGGGAAGTCTGCATATAGCCCAAAATAAACCATTCCTCAATCCAACCATTAAGCACTTCCTTAACAGAAGAGAAATCTGTCCTGGCTCCTCACTTGGAGAGCAAACTGTTCATGGCCTCTCTGGTGTTATCCTTCTGGTTCATCATTGTGCTTTCCCACTGTCCCTAGGGAGTTTGTATATAAACCATGCAAAATCTTGAAGCAGAAGACTACTTTATAGTACTAAAGAGTGTAGCAGTAGTAGCAAGTGGTTTCCCATGCCCATGTCATCCTAAGCATGTGTGGATAACTATGTGCTTACTATGGAATTGTTCACATCCTGCCACTGCTTTAAAAGAAGAGTATTTGTATGTAACCAGAGTGCAACCCTCTGGTGTCCCTTTCCCTTTTAGTTGCATAAACCAGCATTATTTAGCTGCATAAAACAGCATTTTATTTACAGCTACAGAAATATAAAGCTTTTCTTTGCAAAGGCTTTAAAAGCTAGACAAAATTCTTGCTTTTCCTTTTTTCCTTCTCCTTAGAGATAAGCAGTGTGTTAATAGGAAGGATAGAGAAGTGCAACCCAAACTTGCTCTGCTTACAGAGAGGAGCCTCCTGCTCAGTCTCTGTTCAGCTGAGGCCTCAGCTGATGCAGTCCTGCCTGCTGTGCTGCACCCCTCCTAAAATCTCATAGATTTAGCCAAAATTAGCCTGGTCTGTCAAAAATATCATGGGTGTGTGTCTGGGCAAGCACCCATGTGAGGGTGGAGGCACCATGTGAGACAAGAATGCAGCCTCTGGTGAAGGAACAAGTATTGTACTTCAGTGAAAAAGCAGGTGAAAATAGAAGTAAGTATTTAATATGGAAAAGGAGGCACTGATATGTGTCTTTTCCCCCTCATAAATCTGCTTAACTTGGGTTGCAATTACTGAAATGCCTTAGTGAAAAATTTATATTAAAATATATTAAAATGGCTATGTATATGACCAGTTATAGGTTTGATTCTGGCTGACTGGAGAGGAGTTGTTGGCTGGAGATGATGATAAGCAATGTAGGTGAAATAGTAATCAACGGATATTGCTTTGGTGTGAGAAATGTGTATGATCAGTAGAAGAAGGAGAGCTGATTTCCCCTCCTCCAATTTTGTGCTAACTCAAGTATTTGACAGGCTTTTTGGTTTACTTTCTGCAAAACTGGACAGTTAATACAAAGCACTATTGATGTGTATAAATATATATAAATATACACACACACACACACACACATATATATATATATATATATACATATGCCTCTAAAAAAGAAGATGAAGGGAATAGTTAAACTGATGATCCCCAAGCTGTGGTTTGCAATTAATAGGTACAGCCATAGTTAGCATTAGCAGTTCTGAGCTTCTCATCTGCATACACTGCTGGTCTGGGAGCAAACTTGACATTCAAAAGACTTTGAAATCATCTCTGTTAAAAATTAAGTAACGGAATGAATGAAGCTTATTTACTCAACTACTAGCTAAAATGATTAGACTCTTGCTGAAACTGGCATTAAAAACTTTTGAGAAATTTTATGGTTCTGAAAATCTGGAAAAGAGTAAGCTTTTGTCTGACCTTCTACAAATAGAGGTATCAGGTGATGCTGATTTAGAATAACCAGATTTATTTATGAATCAATGTTGGTGCACCAAAAAAATGGTAAGGGCTTTTTGTTTGATAGGCAACTGCCTATCAAGAAGAATCTGTACTTAAAAACTAAACAAACTCCAACTGCAGTCCATATAATTGCATCTAGAGAGCAGGAAAAAGATTTCTAGCTAGAGTTAATTTTAGAAAACTCTGGCTATGGCTTCTGTTTTTTGAGATCATGCATGCAGACACAGATGCCTGGAGTAGTTCAGCTGTGCTTTCTGTGTCACATAAGAGGGGCTGGAAGTAGATCCTCTGTGGGGAACCTTTCAGCACTGTATTTTTCTGTTTGGTTCGGAACTGGTTTTCTTTTGTGAAGAAAATTAGTCAGGACAGCAAAACTGGAAGCTTGCTTTTAAGGTTTTGAATGCTTTTTGACTTGAGTAGTAACTAAAGCCTTAAGCATAAGAGACAATAATTATTGTTTTGAGAACATATGCAAACCTGTTCATTTTATGCACATAACAGCTTCTATGCTTGTTTTACTGAAAATGAATGATGAAATCCCCACTGCCTTCAGTTACTTGTAGGTCTTAGATCTGGTCTTTGACTTGCTTGTCTGAAAAGGGCAAGAGCTTAGTTTTCAAAACTTTTTTTTTTTTTAAGAAGAAATGCATTTTGCTTTATTTTTTTTTTCTTTTTTCCCTTCTTAATTTAGACCATTAGCATAATTCTTTCTGCACACACACCTGATGTTTTAGGTAGCTGGCAGGTCCATTACTGAAGGCAGCAGCAGCCTGGAATTAACAGGTCTTTCTTCAAGCCATAGGGTGCAGAGGAAAGTTATGTCTTGAAGCATTGCTATTTAAAAAAAGGAGTGTACTTCTATTGATCTTCATGGTCCTTGGACCAGCTTTATACTTCTGCAAGAGGAATAGGGGTAAGCCATTAGCAAATAAGAATAAAGCAAGGCAAATGGAGAATTAAAACGTATCTCCAACACAGGGTGAAGAATCTTAGTGGCTGGAGACTTTTAAAAACGAGATAAGACATCTCCTCTTTCCCCAAGGCAGGTACATCATGTGTACTTTGTGTAACACGTGTGTGCTGCTATGATAATAAAGAATAAGGACAGAGAGCTCCAACAGCTTTGCTACTTCGTCTTTTTTTTTTTAAGATTAAAAAACAACAAGTCAGACAGTTGTAGTTAAATAAATAAGCTGCATTGCTTGTACAAAAAGTTATATAAATACAAGTTTGCTGTTTTGTTTTCTCTTTAGAGAAGGAAAGCATCCTTTTAAAAAATAACAAGTAATCCTTATATTACTGAGATGCTTCCAAGTCACAATTCAGAAGACAGACATGTGAAATTAAATTCACACTGTGCAGAGACAACACAGTGGCCTTTCCAGATCAGATACTTTGTGTTTATCCTGTGCACAGTTACACAGATACAATGGAACATGTGATAGATGGAACATATTTTGCTTTTACACAAAATAAAATACTTCCCCATGCTGCATTTTGTTAACTAATGTATCAAAAATATCCATCACATCGTCATCATCATCATTGCTATTATTATGTTATTAAGGAATTGTCCTTCATTCCATGCATAATTATAATTTTACAAGTTAAAAACATCATCCCTCCCTCATTTCATAATCTATAAAGCACCCTGTGCACAGTGAAGCAGATCCCCAATTAAATGCAAGTGCTATTAAAATTAAGAGAAATACACTATTACTGTTGATTTTAGAGGAACAAAATTCTGGGGAGATTAAAAAAGAAAAACAAAATAGTTTTATCTGGACAAAATAATGTACAATTATTAATATTGCACTTTTTATACAAGAAATCCTAATAAATATACAGAAAAGATATAAATTTACATACACAGAAAGTCATTATTCTTTTTCTTTTTAAATAAAAAGTTACACTGATGCTTATTTCTTGAAGACCCATTTCTGCCAAGAGCGTTCACACCCAGATATGTTTTGAAATAAGCCAATTTGAGACAGATTAATGTAATGAACCTGGCACTGACCTCCAGTTTTACTGGACCCCCACTTTTACTGAAAAATCCGCATGTCATGAAAGTTGTAACATAGCAGAACTTGAACAACATTTCATAAATATACCACAAGGCACTAGCCCCAACACCTTTCATTTAGAGAAGACCTTGAAGCAAAACCTGAAATCAGGTAGTTCTCCTCTAAAATTCCACAGTTCTCAATCTCTCTTTGCAGATTTCTTCTAATTTTTTTTTTTTTTTTTTTTTGAGCAAAGCAGAGAATAGAATGCCCAGGAACTAGTATCATGTAGCACTCCACTAGCTGAATATCCACTGCAGCTGGCCAGGAGAAAAGACTCATAGCCTGCATGCAAAATCATGCTGTGAGTATGATATTTCAGTCTCATTTTCTAGACTGTACCTTTGGGGTGTTATAGATGGACTTAAAGATCTGCTTTATAGCACCTGTTTTGTTGTGGGAGGCAGCTGGAGAGGAGCAAGTTTCTTACAAGTTATTTTCATTAGTCCAGTGGGGCTGATGCTAAAGTGGTTCTGTTTTGGCTGAGTAGTAACAACCATGAAAAATCAGAATAAAGCTCTTTTCTACCAGTTATCCAAAGGGCTTGGCTGCCAGGAAAGAGAAACTTCATGTTAACAAAATAGAAAAACCCACTTCTACAAGTTCGTTTCCAAAACCCCAGGTCTGACAGTACCAGAACTTTGGAAAGCAGTACCTCTTTTTTCTAAATAAGTGTTAGTAGGACGCACTATGCAAAGTGTCTCCTGTTGATCATGTACTATTTCTATCTTTCTTGCCTATGCTCTCTAGGGAGCAGTGTTTGCAGGTTTGTGCTTAAGTCTGTTATAATACTTTTTCTCCTTTTGCTGGTTAATCATTAATATCACCATCATACCTCTGTGTCGAGGACAACCCTTCATCTCCAATCCTCCCTCACAAGCTCAAAATAGAAATATTTTCAGGTGTATTTTAGACCCACTTGTGTTATAGACCATTGTCCAACTTCTCCAGACACCAGATCCTCAAAGATCACAAGGGTGTCCCTTGCCTGGTATAGGAAGGAGAGAGGAGTTTATAAATCAAAAAGGCTTCCAATCTTGGATGTAACAAATAAGCTTATAAAGCAAACTCATGTGCTTGTGTTCTTAAGGAAGTCGAAGAGAGATGTGAGCTGCTCAGCAGAAAGAGACCTGGGGGTGCTGGTCAACACCTGGCTAAATGTGAGCCAGCTGTGCCCAGGTGCCTGAGGTGGCCAAGGACATTCTGGCCTGTACCAACCTGTGGCCAGCAGGACCGGGCAGTAATTGTCCCCCAGTACTCAGCACTGATGAGGCCACACCTCAAATCCTGTGCTCAGTTTTGGGCCCCTCACTGCAGGACAGACGTTGAGGTGTTGGAGCATATCCAGAGAAGGGCTATGGATCTGGTGAAAGATCTAAAAGACACATCGATAAAGATCAACTGGGGCAGCTGGGGTTGTTTACCTGGGAGGAAACTCAGGGGTGACCACATTGCTCTCTACAACTGCCTGAAAGAACTTGCAATGTCAGCCTCTTCTGCCATGTTTAAAACCATAGGATGAGAAGAAATGGCCTCAAATTAAGCTGGGAAGCTCAGATTAGATATTAAAAAAATATTCACTGAAAATCTGGCTAGGCATTGGATAAAGTTGCCCAGGGAGGTGATGGAGTCACCATCTCTGGCAGTGTCCAAGAAGAGTCTGGATGTGGCACCCAGGGATAGTTTAGGGGTGGGTATGGTAGTGCTGTTAATGGCTGGACTAGATAACCCTGAAGATCTCCCTGGACCTCGAGGCTTCTGTGATTCTGTAATATGATATTAGGTTTTGATTCTGATCCTCTTCCTCACTTGTTTCTTGGTGTGTCACACAGGCGTAAGGAGATTTGAGGAGAAGATTGAGGAGAAGCCTCACTCCTCTGGTACCCATTGCTTGGTGTCATGGGTCTCTCTGACTCTGTGGTCTACCCTCATGACCACGTTTATCTGCATTTTGTCTCCCAGATGCATAGAAGGGAAAACTTGTCAAGTCCCTTTACAACAATGATTTGTTAATTTTTTTTTTAATAGGGAAATAAATAAATAAAATGAAAAGGATTCCATCCATCTGTACTTTCTGCAAAAGCCTTTGCTCAGTGAAGAAAAGGCTGTGATCCCCTTGTTCCTCCATTTTCATCTTGTCTGTCTTCAAGATTTTCCACAAGTCCCACAGCAACGTGACTTAAATTGGGTGAGCTGGCAGAGTTTGAGCTGCTTCACTTTCTCACAGTATCTTGTAGTGTCTCTGCACTCCACTGCCAAAGGAGAAACAAGAAGAAGAAATGGTGATGAAGTTATGAAAAAAGTGTTTCTTACCTATGAACATATATCCTTGGGTGGACAAGAGGAGAACCTTTGTGTTGGGAGGTCTTACTGTGGGCATGAGATTGACTTGCTGCAAAGACTGAATGTGGACTGCAAGTCCACAGGATCAATGAAGGTAAGCAATATTTAATTACAGAGCCTAGAGAAAGGGCTTCTGAGGCTGCTCCAACACTGTCAGTTTGTCATCTACCAGTATTTTAGAGAGGCTAGAAGTTTCCTAACAGTTAAACCAAAGATGAAGAGCTAAACGAAACTGGATAATTTTTTTAATGGAGTAGCTCAGAGGCACTTTGGCCAGCTTTCCACTTGAAGAGCCAGTGTGTGTCACCCCAGCTGACTGGGAATTGTCTTGTGTTTTTCACAGGTCAGAAAACACCCACCATGAAGATGTTAAGACATCTTTTGAACTCCTCTAGGGCTTAAGTTCTGGTACCACTTGTACAGTTTGTGAGGCTCATAGCCTCCTGCTTTTTAGTTTGGACAACCATCCAGTATCCCTGCAAGACCCTTGAATTTGGGACATTTCTGTATAGCAGAAAGAGGCTGGAGCATCAGCCTCCAGCCTGATATCTGTGATCAAGGTATCAAAGGTGTCAAGTTATCAAACCTGTAAAAGGTCCTGCTTGATACATGCAATCTCCCTCATTGCTTCAGCTTCCATTAGGGTCCCTCAAACTAATGAGTTTGGACCTATGAAGTTCACTTTGCTGAGAGGGAGCACCAGAGCAGGTGTGAATATAGGCAAGTACATGTGGATTCTGCTACTGCATTTGCAATGATTGCAAGCAACTGGCTTGCAAGACAGAGTATGTAAGCATAATTTCCAAACAGGCACATTGGTCTTTTCTGTTCATTTCATTTTTAAAAAATTAATACCTTTTCTATTTCCCTGACAGGCCCAATTTGTTACTTGTAATCTGCAAGAAAGCAGTCTTGCTTACAGGATTTCCCATCATCCACCTACCCACTGGATTTGGACTACAGCCATAAGTCTGGTTGTGATTCATGTTTTTCTTTCTGTCTGTACCATTAACTGAAAGTTAATCACAGAATCATAGAATGGTTTGTATTGTAAGGGGACCTTGAAGATCATCTAGTTCCAACTCTCCTGCTGTGGACAGGGAAGCCTTCCACTGGACCAGGTTGCTCAGAGTCCTATCCAACCTGTTCTTGAAAACCTCCAGGGATGGGGTTTCCACAGCATCTCTGGGAAACCTGTGCCATTGTCTCATCACCTCCACAGTACATAATTTCTTCCTAATATCTAATCTAAAACTACTAGATTTAGTAAAACTAATAGTTTGACTGAAATAGCTTAAAACTAAGTTTTAGGTTTTTTAGTAAAACTAGTAGTTTTACTAAATCTAGTAAAACTTGTAGTTTAAAAAAAAATACCTACTACTATTTTTAGAATATTTTTTTACTGCTAAACTATTCTGTTTCAATTTGAAACCATTCCCCCTTGTTCTGTGGCCTTGTAAAAAGTCTTGCTCCACCTTTCTTGTAAGTTCCCTTCAGGTACGGGAAGGCTACAGGTAGGCTACCTAAAAACAGGGCTGTACAATCCCATTTCCCTCAGCCTTTTTTCATATGACAGGTGCTCGATCCCTCTGATTGAATTGGTGGCCTACTCTGGACTTGCCCTGTAAGACTGCATGAATTATTTCTCATGCTGTTAAAAGGAGACACAATGCCAGCACTAATGGCATTGCCAAAAGCCTCCACAATGGGCAGCACTCCTCTCTGGGATGCTGGGCTTTAGACACTGCATTTTGCACAGGGTTGGGCTGGATGTTGCCCCAGATGCCCAGTTGCAAGGTCCAGTGCTGTGTGTCTGAGAGACGACTCTCCCTTCCTTCCTACTCCTGCACCACTCAGCCTCCTCTCCTGAAGTACCGTTTTCGCACGGCGTGATGTTGCAACGCTGCCAGTTTGCTGGCCTTGGCCTCCAGGAACACTGGTGCTCCATCACGGGCTTGTTGGTGCGGATGTGCACGCAGTCCACACGCCGTGACTGGAAGCCGTAGTTCCCGCATGTGGCTGTGCAGACAGTCCACAGGCTGACCCTCCAGTGCACACCACAGACATCAGTCCAGCAGTTCTGGGTGCTCAACGGCCTGTGGGCAGGAGGGAGGGAGGGAGACAAACATTACATATCTCAAAGGTAATTCACTCAGAATACTGTATAGATCAGATCTTCCCAAGCTGCCAGGTGAGGCCAGCAGTTTGGAACTGCTCTCAAGGACCAGACCCGCAGTGGGTGCACCAACACCAGGCTAAATGACCATTTGAACTGTTTGAGGATTTGACTGAAATGCCCTCTCCACAAAGAACCAAACCAGAGATCTGCTGAAAGGTGAAATGAGTGGTGACCAATGTGGTCCAGCAGGACTTAGTAACTTTTTTATGGCTCTACAGCCAGTGGGAACACAACCAGTTCTCTGAAACACTTCTTTTTCTTTCAAGACAGTATCACAGAGGATGTATAGGCACACTTGGTTCATATCTATTTGTCACACAGGTAGTGAAAAGGCATGAATGGAAGCCAACAAGCCAATTACATTAATATTCAGTCATGATCAGTCATCATTTATATACCTGTCTCATGTAAAGCAAATATCATTACAATGTTGACAGTGGAGTTTATCTGCAAGGAAAAAAAACACCTGTGGAGACCCTTTGTTTTCTGTTAGAATTTGTGTTTAAATAAGTGAGAAGACTGGCACCTTAAGAAGATATAGCACAGCCTTGCAGTCAGGACTTGGCATGCATAGAAGATTTTCCAGTTTTTGGCCAACTGGCCTGAAGTTCCTAGGAATAAATAGGCCTGATAAGTATCTCTGAAAAGGGTTGTGGGTTCAGACATAAGACATTTCTTGGTACCTACCTTGGTAAGGAGCTGCATTGATCAGATGACACAGAAGTCCCATCTTTGGTCTGGCAAAATATCTGTCGGTGCTGTACAGCCAGTCGTGGTCCAATGCAAGGCCCATTACACTGCAAACACAGAAGATTCACTCAGGAGAGGTAAAAGAGGGCAAGTAGCATTTTTTATAAAACAGCTAGTGAAATAAAGTGCATAATGCCACTCAGAGACTGTTGAGATTTCAACTGCTTTCTGGACCTCTGCAAGATTTGAAGGCTGACTGTGCAGCCATTTTCTAATCTATCTCACTCTTCTCCAGCAGCATTTAAACTACATTTCTGTATCTGCTCTCTAGATTCATTACCTCTTCTCTTCAATTATTTAATCTTAAATACATCTGTTAGGGGAAATTAAATGCTCTCATGCCATTAGCCAAGAGCCTATGATCCATACAGGAAATCCCAATGCATTACTTTTACTGTGCATTTTGCAGCATGTGAATTGGCCAAATAACTCAGAATGTATTGAACCAAGGACATATTCCACTCCATTGAATAATTTAAAAGCATTGAAGGACAGTAAACAAAAGCAGGAAGCATGAGAAACACAAAAGATATGCAAGCTTGCTCCAAAATTAAGGCCATCCTAACATATTCAAGCTTAACGCTTACATTTCAGTTAAACTCTCTTAATCCTCTACTTTGATTAAGACATAACTTGGTATAGGTATGAAGCATGTATTTCTGATATTTTAAAATTACATCAACTATTAGGAAACTGCTTTTCTAAGTGTCTGGAAATTATTTCAAAGAACAAACTGAAGGTTGAATAAGGGGTCATTAGTGTGAATCACCAGCTTTAAAACACCATGGGATTACACAGTGGTGAACAAAATACCAGAAACATTAAATGAAGGAAAGGAACTAATTCTAGGAGTAGCGGTAGAGAAGGTAGGCTGTTTATTTTCTTTATGAACTGGGAAAGTTGATTGCTACCCCTGTGCAACAGGTGACCTGATACCCCATCATACTACCATACTACCAAACAGGTAATTGATCCACTGAACCAGTGGTGCATTCCTAACTATGTGTAGCAGTCTTCTGGCTTGGAGACGAGGCAGTATGCAACTATGTTGAACTTGACATTTTTTTTGTAAGCTAGGTAGCAGAAATACTACATGATAATGCACAGAGATTACGTCTAAAGTTCATAAATTCTGAACCGTCTGATTTTCTCAGCTGAGTATGATGTCATGGGGAACAATATGATGCATAACAGTTTTTGCAAAGATGATCCAGTTCTTTCCTGAAATTTCATAGAGAGTGAAAATTTTCTTTGATAGAAAGTGATTATTCCAAGCTTAACTTGTAATACAATAACTCAGTCACCTTTCAAGATTTAAACAAGATGTTTTCAAGCAATGAACAATAACACATTCTAGTAGCTGAAGGCACCTTTTCCTACCAACATTTTAAAAAAAAACCTGAAGAGAAAATTTGAAGATCTGCAAAGCAGCAGGAGGTAGTTTGAAAATGCTTTTAGCCCTCAATTCTGCCTTTCATTATGAAGCAAGTCAAGAAAGCTCACAGTTTTTGGTATTTCCAGGCAACATCAGCAACTTTGTAAAACTGAATTATTGCACAGACCTTCTGTCTTGAACCTCATCACAGTCCTGACTCCAGCCAGCCAAGACTGAAGCACTCTCACTGGCTGGTAAGGGGAATTAAGACTTGAAGAAGGCTATTTTCCAGATGTGTCACTAATCACTATAGCAAAGAGCTGTAGACCTTTCTGCTGGAGAACACAGGGGTCTGCAGTAAAAGCTCTGTTCATGAGCGGCAATTCTAGTGATCATGAGAAGCTACAGAAATCCAAACAGGCAGTGTATCATATACAGAAAGAAGGAGCTGAACAAGTTAGTGTCCACCTCAAAAGCCTGTAGACTATAACCTAAAGATACTACGTTGAAAAATCACAACCCTCATTTTCTGCTCTTTTTTCTAGCCTATACTATGGGAATGTCCTTGGAATGCTACTTTGTTCCTTACCTGGCCCCAGGAGGAGGCCGCCCACTCGACACAGGGCTGCCTGTTACAGCTCTGTGTGTCCACAGGGTGCTTGGACACCTGGGCACAAGCCTCGCTGGACATGGGGACAGAGCTGCCTCTCGCTGTCAGGCGCTGGCATGTCACTCGTCGTGTCTGTTTGCCTCCACCACAGCTCTGTGTGCAAGGAGACCAGGATGTTACCATCCACCTGTGAGAGAAAGGAGAACAGGTCAGGGAGCAGGCACATGCCACTGTCTGCAGGATCCTTGGCATCAGCTGATCTTTGTCAGTTGGACCAAAGACAGGCAACAGTGGGTTGGCTCATTTAGTGTCTCGGCCTCCCATAGTTTTCACTGGAAGATGTTCAGAGGGTGAAATCTGAGAAAACTGCCATTTTTACATTAATTTACCTTTCTCAAGGCTCTTTGGGCCCAGACCTTAAAGCTGTTTTTAGAGGCTTAGTAAATACTTGTAGCCCTGGCACAGGAGTTGGGCAAGTCTGCTCTTACACCATGGTGCCATGGAAGCCTTCATCACAAGCTGCAGTACAACGCTAGGACTAGCCCAGCAGCACTCCTTAGTAGGGAAAACTATCTCTGTGTAATTGCTGGAGTAGCTCACATGCCACTTCAAGCTTGTGAGAGAATAGCCAAAATCCTGCTGGGTCCTGCTGCTGCCTGCCTCCTCTGTTGTACCCCTGACATCTTGCATAATCCAGAAAAGCCTGAACATTGCTCAGGAACAGTTTGCCCAGGAAAGGAAGGACACTGTTCTTTCCTCTTAAGCTCAGACCATGCATTTATCAGCTGAGGCTGATGCTCTGAACCCCTGTGTACTGGCATTTAAAAAATGCAGTCTAACTAGTTAAAAGGCTGTAAAAACCAGAAAATAATAGTCTAATGCATGTTGTCACTGTAAGGATCATTAGGTGAAACACTTGTACAGTCAGGTTTGGGAAAGCATTAGGTAGGAATAGCAAGAATGCAACTGATAGTTTTCTGAACAGTTTTATGGTCAAGCCAGCAGTTTGCTTCATTAAGTTTCTGGATACTTGGCAGGATTTTTGTGGTTTTGGGAGTAAAATACTGCCTATCACATCCCTCACCAGCAGTGTTTACGATTACTTTACAAAATAGGCAACAGACATTCTCCAGTCCCATGGAGAGGTATCTGTTTCTATTTCTCTGTCTTCTGTGGGTGATTAACTCCAGTGGTCTCAGAAACAAGTATAAACAAACATATTCCCAACCTGGAAAACAAGAACACTGGTACTTTTGTGCAGTTTGGTGTGGTTGAACCTGCAATTTCCGCACTGCTTATAAAGCTCTGGTCTGTATGTCAATCAACTTTTATTTCTAAGCTTACATCTCAGCAGTTTCTCAGGAGCTGAGGAAGGATTTGGGGTTGTGTTACAATTCAGAGAAGGTATAAAAAGACATAAACCATTCCCATGGAATTTATTGTCAACAGCAAGGAAAACTATTGCTAATGAGCATGTTTCATATTTCATCAAATCTCTTTTGGCTTCTTTCTTATGACTCAGCTGGCAACTCGGGAAACATTTGCCTGCAAAGAAGAGTAGGAATATATTTTAAAAGGTGATTAAACAGAAACTTGCAATATGCCCAAGACACAGCAAAAGTGGTGAGTCTGGCCACTTCTCATCAGGCCACCTCTCCTTGCCACAGCTTAGACTGTCTTTTTTTTTTAATACAAGTCCCAAATCACTGTTGAATGAGTGAATGTCTGTTGAATGAGGGAAGTTGTACTAAAGTTCTCTTGAGATACTCACAACTTTTAAGTGTTTGTATACTGAAACATAACATATCCACATTGGAAATAAGGGAGAGAAGAGAGTAACACCATGAAAAATATGGAAAAACATGTTTACATATCTCAGCTAAGGAGATACTGAATTGCAGAAGCAGGACATTTTTAATATGGAGGGAGCATAATACTATGCTGACTCTCTGGATAAGCTCAAGATGTACTCTTCTTTGCACCAAAGGATGTAAAAAAAAAAACAAAACCCAAACAACTTTGTGAGGGGTGAAGTCAGAGAATCATTTATGTTGGAAATGACCTTTCTTATCATCAAGTCCAATCATAACCCAGCAATGCCAAGTTCACCATTAAACCATGCCCCTAAGCACCGCATCTACACATCTTTTAAATACTTTGAAGGATGATGACTAAATCACTTCCAACTGTTCTAATGTTTCACAACCATGGTGAATTTTTCCCTAACAGCCAAAATAAACCTCTCCTGATCCAGCTTGAGGCTGTTTCCTTTTGTCTTGTCACTTTTCACTTGGAAGAAGATGCTGACCCCCACCTTACTGCAGCCTCCTTTCAGGCAATTGTAGAGAATGGTAAGGTCTCCTGGGCCCATTTTCTCTGAGATAAACAACCTCAGCTTCCTCAGGCACTTCTCATGGGACTTGTACTCCAGACCCTTCACCAGCTTCTCTGTCCTTCTTTATTGTAGTGAGGGATGTAAAATTGGACACAGTAGATGAGATGTGCCAGAGGAAGGACCTAGATGTAGCCAGAAGTTTTTTAAGCTGTCCTGGCTCATTTGTATATAGCAGTAAGTGAAAACCAGGGGACTATAAGGGCAAAGAATTACAATTCCAAGGCAACCACAAGCTAGCAAAGTCCAAAATGAGGCAGAACTCAGCCCTCTTCATGCCCACTAGATCTGATGAGATGTGCCCATTTTACAAAAGATATTTTCACCCTGCTAAGGGAATTCTTTGCAGCTGCAGCTACGACTGCAATCCTGCCCATATTGATTTTCAAGCAGCAAAAGGACTCAGAATAAAATAATGAAATAGCTGCTAAACTTAGTTTCTTGTCTCTTATATTGTTGGGGCAAACTGCTATGAAGCCAAAAAACAAATTATCCTACAGGTCTTGGGTGACAAAATTTCCATGCATTCAGTGCTCAGAACAAGCATGAAATTTATAACCAACATAGGGTGTGACCCAAGACATTGCAAGCTGTGAATTCTCTTTCTACCTTGTCCTGTCAAAGTTTTCCACTAATATTTCTATAAAATCCCAACTGTATGGATTTAGCACTCAAAAACTCGCTTTTAGCCATGACTTCTCCAAACAGGCACCAGAGAAGCTGCAGTGGTGTGATGACCCGCACAAGAACTCTTCCAGCACATCTTAAAGGTACGTAAGATACTTTCACACGGGACAGACGAACCGTGAAGGGCAGTCTCTTCTGTTGCATGCGATGGGTTGCAGAGATGGCTTGGGTGTCTCTCTGCAATGGGATGCGTTGACTTCAGCCCCATCCAGTAAGCACCTCAGCTGGGGCAGCTGCAGCCCTCTGTGGCCGCAGGAAGCCGAACAAGCTGTCAGTTTGTCTGCCGACCACCGGTACTCTGCCAGGAAGTGTGGGAGAGGCACGTTAACACTGAAAAACTGACAGCAGGGGTTCAATTAGAAAGGAGAGAGTTGAAGATGTTCTCCAGGATGAAATACAGGGATTCAATGAAAAGGAGATACCTACCCTTGCAAGGTACCTGACTCATACTCCTGACTACCTTTGGTGTGACAAACCCAGTTTTTTGGTGCTTAGAAGCAACAGGCATAGAAAACTAATAACATGGCATAGCAGTTAAGTGAAGCCAGATGCCAGTGAGCATCTAAATTTTTAAAGGTGTGTTATTTAATGAAGATATGGTTAGCTGCAGTACCCAGCAGTATCTATGACTCTACGATCTTGAAACACTGTGTCTCTTAACCAGATAGTTTACACAGATCATTTGTCCTGAAGATAAATGTGGGAATTGCAACACACTCAAAATTTTATATCAAAATTGAAGGAAAAGTTAAATTCTTCACCTCTCCATCACTGACAATTGAAGCAACGAAGGCTGCATATTCTGTTTGAACCCAGCTGCACTGCAGCGTTCTTGTGGCTTTATTGCCTTTGTCTTACTTCTAGGAGATCTCTAACAATTACAGTTCCAGAACTTTTACAAGTGAAGGGTTTTTCAATGAAGAGACTGTGAGACACTGACTAATGTGTACTAATAGAGGGGCTTTTGTTTTAAGGGGTATAAACTCTGCCACATCTGTCTTGAATTTATGAACAAGAAAATTGTTGAGGCTCAACATAAGCAGAGCTTGAATCAGGAAAGTGCGTTTCATGCTCAGCAGGGCAGAAATATCTGGTGTCATTTTGGTAAAGTACAAGCTAAGACACTGTAAGGTACTCAGGAGCCCTGCAAATCTATATCCATGGCAAGAAATCGTTAAGACATCTTTTTTTTTTTTCTGATATGCATGGTGATGGTTTCAAAGGGGAGAAATTCAGGATGAGGAAGGCAGTGCAGGGAAGTTCATGGCCAGAGCTTTCCAGGGTGAAATGGCTGAAATGGAAGAGTTACCTTGTATAGTCAAAGTCATTACTTGAGTGAGTGAGCCAGCTTCATTCTGAGCAAGGCAGCTGAATTCACCATCAGTGAAATCACTGACATTGAGTATCTGAAGAATCCGTCCTGCTGCCAGGAGTTGATGTTGCTGACTGAGGGGCTCACCAGAGTAAAGCCAGGTGATGTTCGGGGTTGGATGCCCATTGACAGCACAACCTAAAAAACATGTACATGAGAAAAACCTGCTGATTACTAAACCAGATACATGCTTTGAAGTGGTCAAAATGAGGGGAAGTAGATTCCATCCCATTTTCTCCTCATTTTCTCATAATGATGAAAAGTAATTCTGTAATAAGGAATAACTTTTCATCACAGAAAAAAATCCAAAAGCCAGATAGCCTGCAAATTGGAAAATCTCTGATTAGTTTGTAATTATTTATATTAGACCTTCTAAGGTTTCAACTATTTTTTGATCATCCCCATTTTGATATTGAAGAAGGTGGTATGGGTGGGTTATAAACCTGGCATATACTCAAGTACATTCTTGAACATGCACTACAAATGCAACTTGGTCTCCAAATTTCCTACATAAGCCAAAGAACCATCTTCCTCTTTCTCTTTATTTTAGAAAAAATTTAATGCTATTTATTGTTTGTGTTGTATTAAAAGTCAGAATGTTTTTTACATAAAAAAATTCTGTTGAAAAACCAAAGAGATAAAACTGAGTCTTTACAGGTTTGGTTGGATTGTGGTTTGTTTGCTTGTTTTTGGGTTGGTTTTCTTTGGCCACACAAAAAATAGCAACTAAAAATATCCTGATGTTCTAAAGTATTGTGTGAGGTCTATGGATCACCAGCACAGATGATGAGATTTATATTCTCAGTCAGTTCTTTGGCTGTTGACCTGAAGGAAGTGTAAGTACAAGACCCTTTTTACTGTGGTTATCATATCACCTGAATACTTTGCCAGTTTCATGATGAATTCCAGGAAATTTGTAAATTGGGAAAGACAGCTAAGTTGTCTTGCCTATTTCCTGGGGAAAAAATTAAGAACTGGGTGATTTCTGTAGTGTAACCTATCCCCACCAATTGCAGGGGTGGAGAGGCAGAAATGCTGTATGTGAGGGATGGCTTATATCACTAGGACTGCTTCTGGCTTAGGCTTGTCATGCACTGCTATAAATGTCACTGAGACATGGAAGGTCTCTAAGTTTCTGCAAATGCAATCTATTCTGATGGTTAGTTGGTTATACTGAAGCTTTATATTGTTTTGTTTGTATTAATATGTATGTGCATGAATGCCTATATTGTATACAAAATCGTTCTGAAAGAACTGTCTTTATAAACAAACATAAAATATACATCAACTTCTCGAGAGGAAGGAATAAATGGACACTCCAGGTCAAATTCAGCTCCTCATTAAACCTTTGCAAGTTTTTGAATGATTGTAGCTGCAGAAATGCTCTGGGCTAACATGCTAAGACTAGGAGAACAAAATACAACACATGCACCACTTTTGCACTTTCAGACCTGATAAAAACAAGTGCAAAGGCTATTGATTTAAGGATTCCTTTTCTTTTTGGCAGCCTGATACTATATAGAAAACAATGGTAAAAATGTCAAGTGAATTTTGCAAGTACTAAATACATTTACAAATGTAAATTAAAAAAATTATCACTGTCTTTAAAAGAGGTGTCTATTCTTAATATAGATTGTTTTCATGTCTTCATATTTGTCTAACAAATAACTCTCTAATTTACTGTTAACAGGATTATTAGCCCCAGGAAATCTTTCTAATATTTATTAAAGATGGAATTTGCGTGAATACTTCAGGCGAAGATCAGGTAGTTTCTTTGATTTTGTATTTCTGTACTATTTTACTGAACTCTAACAGAAAATAGTTGTGGACTATAATAAATGGTATTAAAGCAATAAATATAATGCTCCTACAGGACTTGAAACATGAAAGTATTTCCACTCTAAACTCTACATTCAAGGAAATCAAGTATGCTTTCAAAATAGAAATCAGATTAAGGATGAAGTGAGGAACAAAATGCTTTGAACAAACTGTGGCAAAACCACATATCAGTCAGAGTAGATAAAAGCTTGTTGCTGAACTAGTATGTTGTGGCTGACACTGTGCTACTGTGTTCACACTGTGTAGGTGATTACTGGTAGTGAGAATCAGTTCCCCAGTTTCTGGTCAGGTCTTATTTTCTCCTTAGCTAATTTAAATGAGAAATGCACGTTAAATGGAACAGAACTAAAATTCAATTCCATCCTGTATCTAAGATAAGGATGAAAAATTGACAGGATGTATTCAGCTTTTAAACCAAAGGCAGTAAGTAAGATCATGTCTGAAAGTTACATGTATGTAATACCTGTTTTGCTGAAGAGGCAAAACTAAGAGACATGTCTTTGTAGTTTCTCTTATGGGGAAAGATCTTTCAATATACTATAAAGTGACAGACACTGAACTGTTTGCTATTATGAAAATTTTTTCTCATTGTTTTCAAACACTGAATGAAATAAAATTTATAAAAAGCAATGAAGTCTGAAAAAAAACCCAAAAGAAATAATTAATATTTGTATAAATACAGCTTTTACTTAAAAATTTTTAAGGCAATGCAAATAACATGAATTTATGCTACACAAGGAAAACCATATATTTAGAAATTCTTGAAATAAGCCAATTGATAACAGTAGCACTTAAAAAAAAGAAGTAATTTTAAATAACTGTTTATGGCTGCAAAGGTGCGGTTGCAATATACTATACTAAACATCTGACATGGTTTTTAACAGTTCTCAAAACACCTCAATTGGTTACCCAACGCCACACATGTTGTCCTTATTAGGTATCACTTACATAGCATTGCAAACATATATGGTATTCAACAAAAATTGAGTCAGGCTCATTCCCAGACGCACACTGGCTGTAAAAAATGTTCCCAAATACACAGACACATGGTGGGCCCATTAAAAAGCAAGGGAATTTTCAAGTTCTGGTAGTTAATACTGTTTCCTAAAACTTAGTCTGACAACAGAAATCCTACACACTGAGAATCATGTATTAATAAGGACTGCTCTGAATACAATCTGCAATGGCAAATCAAAAATCAAAGCCTACAGCAAAGGATTCAGCATACTCAAATGACCACCTAAGCTAACTTTGACAGGCTTTATTAAGTTCATGACAAAAACAAAAAAGGAGTTAAACTGTAAACTTCTACCCCACCACTGCCATAGCTCCAGGTCTATGGATCACCAGGTTAACTGTCCATTTATGGGAAAAAAACAGCAGTCAGATGAGACTTATGGAACATACACTGGACAGCAGTACAGCACAAGGAGTACAATAAAAGGCACAGCAAGAACTGACAATTACCAACATAATGCAATTACCAACATAATGCAATTACCAAGTTGCAAATGCCAGTGCTGCTGTAGAACTTTTCTATATTTCATAACCTAATATAAACTTGCTACATTTTGAAACAGCATCTCAGATGGCACTTGGAAAATAAAAAATACAGAGCAGAGGAGGTAGAGGACAGACAGGTTTGGGAAAGGCCAAATGATGATGCTTGCTCCAGAGAGGTTGTAACTTCTGTCCTTTTGAGACACGTGAGGACTGTCATAGAAGAAGAGGTTGCTTCAAAACTTATAATCAAGAAGTCCTTGAGTCAACATGTCAGAAATCCCATAGTGTTTCAAACTCACTTAACACTTACTCTAGAATAAATCTCAAGTTTTGCAAGAATCTAAAAGACCTTTTATATGAAGGAAGCTGGCAGAATGAAATGTCTCCATATTAGGATACCCACAGCAAGTCTGATACTACCATTTACCCACAATGATTTGTCTCAGTGGAAATCCTCATTAGTTTCATTAGAAAAAAATCTAGGTCTGTGATTCAGATAAAGATTAGAGACAAAAGTTCAAAGGCTGCAACTCTTTTCAACAAACTCAAAATTCAGCAGATGTTGCCCCAAAGGTCAGTGATATTATTTTATATGGAAGCATTTTTGATCACTACTATAGATCAGTGGTTGTCAGATTAGATAATTCATGGCACAAAATAACAGGGAATTAACTCAAAGCAGCAGATTGCCTAGAGAACATCACTCCTTTGACCCTGTGTTCAGAGCTTAGCAGTGGCTGGACTAGTGCCTGATTGTCTGAAAAACAAACACTGTTTTAGAGTAGTCAAAATGTTCAACCATTCAGAGGTATCATAATGTAATTTTTAACCCAAAATGTACACAGTGTGTATATGCAAAAGAAAAGCCACACATTTCAATGCAATGCTACAGGGTAGTCTGACATAGTCTGCTGTGCTCTGATGTAGAAGGAAGATGCTGCAACACTCTGTGAATTTTATACAATATTTAGAATGCAACCAATGTGATAATGTGATCAGGCAATTAAATGCAAAGATAAGGGCATAATCTTGATCTTAATTTTAATTCTAGTCTCTACAGAAAGGTCATGTACCTGCCTGGGACTTGTCACACATATAGTGACAAGGCAGATTTTTTACCAAGACAAAAATTTAAAGGAACAGATAACACATTTAAAAGGACAGGCTATCCCATGAATATACCTGGTACTTCATCCTGATGACACTAGACATAATGTTAATATCAAATAAAGTTGCTAAAAATATTCTTTAGCATTAGAAGTTCTTTTCAAACATGATGGCAAATTTATTAGAGAATGAGGAGGAAAAAATGATATGAAAAATAACTTCTCAGATAGTCATGATTTTATCTGAACCCTAATGCACAGCTTCTGCAGTTGTCTTTTTCCTTAAGGTGAGCACAGGTGCCAGTTTAGCTGTAATTTCTCACGAATTTTCTTTTTGCTGCTTTGTACAGATTGCAAATTATTTTGCATTTCTGCTTCAAATTTTAATACAGCAATAACTCCCAAAAATAGGAAAATTAAAAACAGGCTCATGGTAGAAATGGGAAGAGCAAAGGAGAATTACAAGAAAACATACTTTCAAGAAGATATGCTCTTGCTCTTGAGTATATCACCAAACATTGAAAGAAATTTGTATTGATGAGATCAGTGGTGTTATTACTTTTCACACTGATTTTTGAACAAGAGTTAGTCCTGTGAGAGCCAGATGTTATGGCACAGTACTTAGCAAGCAATTCCAGCATTTACTTCTCTGGCTCTGTTTGGAAGAGTTTGATCCTGACATTAGTCTATCTATCTGATCTGGTTCTTCTCCTGAAGTAGTCAGCTGCACATTTGGCTCACTATAATGCACCCAAGAACATGCAAAAACCTCTAGGTTAATTTTTCTGTCTGTCGTGACATCTAGATAACCATTAAACCTCCTGGCAAGTACTAGCCAGGGGTTTGAAGAGATCCCCTCTGAAATCATAAAAAACCCTGACCCCCAGCCTGAACTCTGGGCTTTGGCTCCAAGGCAGTTGGACCTTTTAAATAAGTAATTTATTCATACTCAAAAGGCCATTGCAAGCAAGGTGACTATTTTTTTTTTTTTGATTCTGCTTTCTGGGTGATATTCTGGGAACCTAAGCAATTCTACTAGAAAATGAGTGTGATATGCTACTGCCAGAAAAAGAAAAATGAGATATACAGTAAATTTGGTACATATTTTCATCCTTCATATTTTTTAAGTTAAAAAGTTCTTGTTATCTCTTTATCTTAAAAAAAGCTGCATTTTGAATATTGATATTTGCAGAACAAAGCTTTGCTGTGCAGCTGGTCATCTTCTGAAGCAGTAGTGAAATTAGAGCAAAGCTGCTCTAATTCTGTGGTCATTTTGGATAATATAAAACCAGAAAAAGACTTGGTTTTTAGAACTATGTTTGCAGTGCTGACAGTAAAATCATGTTCTAATTTGTGAAGTGAGAAAATATGGAAGTAATCAAGTAGAACACAATAAATATGGTGCAGCAATATTTCCTTTTTTTTTTTTTTTTTTTTTATACAATTGACTGTACTTTTCTGGTCATAGAAAAATACACTTTGTGATCTAACATCACAGTAATTTTCAATATCCCTTACAAGTAAGGAGGGATGGGAACCAGACTTCAAGTAATTGCCTAGGCTTTTCCCCAGTTATTAATATTATCAGATTCTGTAAAATAACATTTTCCTTCTGCCCTCTGTACTTCAGTCTGAAATTTTACAGGGATTCTACATGTTCATATTCTTAGAAGCATTCGTTTCTGAAACTTCTAATATTCCTTCAAAAATTCTTACTTAAATGTAACTAATGTATAGATATCAAAGTCATTAAATCTTCATCTTTCACTGTGCAACACAATTGCAACATGTTCAGTATTCATCAGTGATGAACCAAGAACAAATTTTAAAATCATATTTTGTATCTTTTGCCAAGTGTGATGATTATTGGTCTCCAATAATAATACAATATATATGAGAAGTTGTAGTGAATCTCTATGCGGATTTGTAAGATCCTCAGTTTCCCAGTGAATTATATTCAAATACAGGAAATAACAAGCTTGAACTCAAATGAAAACAAATATTCTTGACAGGCCCAAAGCCTTTTCTGCAGAAGTGTTAGATGTCAGGAACACTGAATGCTACAACCTTGGTTTCTGCCAATATTAACATTTACAAAGCTGAAGACTCATGGAAATGTGTCTAAGGATTTGTGTAAAAAGACTAATTGATACTTGTAGCATTGATAAACTACTGAAAATATAGGAATGTAGGATGTTCCTTTAATTCTGAAAGATAACACCAAGAAGTAATCAGAATTGACAAAGATCAAATGATCATGAATATTTCTAACATTCAAAAATCTTATCAGGTGACAAACAAAACACTTTTTCTGTCATGAAAAGAGTGGTGTTCCTTATAACGTTTTCATCGCCAACATTCAGGAAAACTGTAATCAAAATTTAAAAAGTCCCAAAAACATTTTGAGAAAACTTTCCAGAAAAACATAAAACTTTCCAGAGAAACATAAATTTGTGTCACTTCAGAAATCAACTGTGTTTTATCTTATGCACAATGTAAAGTTTTTTGTGTGTCTGCCATGAGCCAAGAACATCAGAAAGTGTATGACAGGCTGTAGCTCATCTCTGATTGTAAATTTGAACTACCGTAAAACCCAGAAATATTTCCAAGCTCATGGGTGTTCTAGCTGTACTTTGGAGATAGTCCTGTCCTTCAGGTGTGTGATCTGCAGATGACACATAAGTGACTACTACACAACTTGACAATGAAGTGAGGACTGGGGAAGACTGCAGTACCCTGCACATGTTTTCAACATTTGTGAAGGAGCAGGGTAAGCACCTATCTGTGCAAGCCACCATCTACATCATGCTCTTCAACTGGATGATGAGTTGGACCTAGAAAGCTGGCTGGAATCTCAAAACTTTAGAAGCAAAAGAAGTATATAAAATAAAAATACTGGTGACTGTGTTGGGCAAGGCATCGGAAACAGATAGTTTCCTTTGGGTTTTTTTGTGAATTTTTAAATATTTAATACAGATATTAATTTCTAAACAAGTCCTCGCCTGCAGCTTTAGACTTCCATTGCTGTATTAAATTTTCAATTGCATTTTTTAATCCCCCTGCAAGGCATGAAACCAGTGTTTAATGAAGTTTTGACTCCTGTTTTTCTTAAACCCTGGCAAACCCATGCATGACTTTATCCAGGTTTCTAACATAATTTTCCACCTTTGTTTTCTTTAACTCCTATAAAATAAAATGTTTACCCTGAACTTACTTATCACTCCTCCACATTTCACCCTGTTTCTTTGCATGTATTCTGTTTTCTTTCACTACTCAACAATTACTCATATGCCCAGATTTCAAAATCTGTGTCTAATTGTAGGCCTTTTGAGTCCCAAGGGATACCGGTGCCTAACAGTAGCACAGACAAGGGATCTCACACATAGCAATTTATATACCCAAAGTTATTTTATGGGACATCCAGACAGTGTAGAGCCAACATAATAAATGATGAAAGACTCAGCAGGATTGAAGTTCATTGGGTGGGTAGTAGAACAGAAAGAATCAATGGACAATTTTCTAATTCACTGGATAGCCCATTCCATTATGACTTTTTGCTAGAAAAAAAAATATCTCAGAAAATTTCTCTAGGTTTGAATAATAACAAGGCTCAAATTCAAACCAGTAAAACTCCAGTGAAGTTGAGGGAACTGCCTCAAGAATTAAACTAGTTTGCTATTTTGCAATTACAATCCATGGAATTTCCTGGCCCATGAAGTGAACAGCAGAGTACAGAGCGACACGGTCAAATGAAATTGATCAGGACGTGGTTGCATACAGCCAGTGAAGAAAACTCTTTGTCATTCAATTACTTCTTTTAAACAATAAAAAGTGCCTGAAAGTCCTAAAGTCTTCTTTTTGGAAACCTGAGAAGGAATGGATGAAAGAGGAGTATGACCCAGTCTTAAATCAGTGAGCACAATAAAACCATACTCAAAATGATTTATTCAATGCCAATAAATACCTATGATATTTTCCCCACTGAGGACTATTTCAATGCAGTTTTTGTGCAAGCAGAAATATAATCCAAAGCTCCAGGCTAAAAGCCATTGCAAAGGTATTCAGATGTATGCAGATACTTGGAAGAGTAAACCACACAAAACTAAAAACATAAATAGAATGTCTCCTTTGTGAAAGTAAAATCTTAAAATTGCTATTAAATGTGTGGAAAGAATGCTTTGGAAGGTGCAGAGATGTATTAACACTCACATCACATCACATCTGCAGAACCCTTGCTAAAAGTTTCAGAACCCTACCCCTAAAAAGAGAAAAGATAGTTCTGAGATTGTAGGGCTTGACAAGTTTTCATGGTATGCAGTAATATGTTCATTAGGGAAGCTGTTTGCCTATCTGAGACTGACAATTAATAGAGTTTCAAAGCAGACTGTGAAACGAAATAATAAAATAAATATACCCTAAAATTTAGAAAAAAATGAGAATCTCTTTGCAAACAAATCACACCCACGGATCTGAAACAAGTTTACAGTTTACAAGAACTTGCTGTGCAAAGAGGGTAAAGCTATATGGAAGGCAGAAAAGGATGAAAAGAAGAAAAACATTCATTTGGAATAAATGATTCTTTATATGGCTTTACTGATGGCGTGAAATAAGAAAGAGAAATAAAATGAACAGATTAAAACAGAGAGCTTGCAAGATCAGAACATGTAGAGGGGGATAGGCAAAACTATGGGAAAGGCTCTGAAGAAGGATATACAACATGAGCAGCAGACATATGGTAAGGCAGCTACCCAAATGTAGAAGAAAAATTAAAACAGAACCACCAATGTCTCTTCTTTTAGATCAAGTAGCACACTGGTCTGCCACGTCTTTGTGTTGAATAATTGCCAGCCCCCCAGCCCCCCAGGGCAGGAACCACTTCTTACAGGGTGCTTTATATATATATAAAGAGTAGCATTATGAAGCCCTTATTCTGCATGCAGCTTTGGACTAATTAAAATTCTTTTTAAAAATGAATTTCTGAGGTCTAAAAAGTATTTGGCAGTGATTATGACTCACAACGAGCCATTGGTTTGATGTCTTTTGTCTCAGTGCCCATGTCTGGGTAACCAAATCCTTAATGTAAAGGTTAATTACATGCATAGCTATGAGATAAACTCTAAAGACTTTAAAATCTAAAAATCTTAAAGCACTTGACTTACCTATGAGAGCAGAGGTCCCTGGACTGACAGTCAGTTTTGTTCCTGAAGGAGAAGTCAGCACCGAATGGGTGCTGGGTCCAGCACTGCTAAACACTGCTGTCAAGTCTTCTAGGTAAGGAAGGGGTCGTGGAGGCTCTGGTAACAGATTGGGAGAATGAGCAGCACTAAAGCAGAAAACATCTTGGGATATAGACCTTGCTCCTCTTCTCCCTCTACCCCACCTGCCTCCCTCTCCCCAGATATTGCTGCAGTTTTCACTGTGCTGCAACATTGCCATTTCACAGGGACAGATTAAGCAACTTTGGATAACTACTGAAACTTTGCCTCATGTTAGGTAAGGTGCTGGAGAAATTATTAAAATAACATGTGTATCAATGTGACCACAAAATTAAAGAAATTATCTCTGAAGGTTACCACAGCATTCTGGATGTCCCTGTTCATATGTGACAGAGTTATATAGTATCAGGAGATACAGCAGCTTGGAAGAAAAATTTATACAGCATAGAAACCAAATCAAATGTTCATGACAATTAGTGAAAAACTTTTAGAGTCTGCTACAACCTGGATCAAGCTCTAATTAAATATGGTTATAATGCTGCCAGATCCTGTGGTATACTTAGGCAGAACTCCAAAGGACTAAGAGTTAAGAGCTCAAGAGGATCAGTCTATGCTGAGAACTGCAGGATTTAGATGTTTACTAATCACAATTCTATTTTAAAAATTGAGGTAATGCCTAGCATTCCCAAGTCTACTTGCCATAAAAATGATGTGATATTTGATCGAAATGAATACTGGCTTCATCTTCTCTCAATTAGATCATGGCACACATTATGCGAGTTTTCTACTGCTGATAGCATTCAGCACCAGTAGTACAAATCAAGGATGCCTGAACTGTTCTGTTCCATCAAGGAGCTAAAAATGTAATTTGCTTACAAACATAAGCAACTTGCGTAACTCACAGTAACTTACCATCTTTAAAAGCTAAGCCAACTATAATGATCAGAAAAGGAAGATCATCTGGAAGACTTTATTTATAGGCTGAAACTCAGCTGATTTTTTTTCCAAATTATTTTTTCAGACTGAGATTTTAGAGTCAGTCTGGATTAATAGGAGAAATGTTTGAACCTTTATTTTGCTATTGTCTGTGAAAATCCCACTGTTATACATCCTCTAGAAGCTCACTAGTTGAGAAAGATCTAATGCCCCAGTTGTGAGGAATAGGTTTCAAAATTTGAGACTTCACCACCAAATGCACTACTAAAGTGCTTAAAAAATCTGTCTGGATCATTCATCTGCCAGGCATGCAGAAATTAAAGATGAGTTACTAGGAAAGGAAACGCCTTTCCAACAATTCCAGTTCCCACCAGGTACCATTTCCACTCACATTTCACAGCTGCCACTATCTTTTAAATCACGCAGATGGGCTTTCTGTCTGGTGTTTAAAAACACAGGGGAAAGTAAAATTCACCTTACACAGAACTTGAGATGTACTTGAGATGTACTTTTTAGAAGTGCACTGGTTTTATGCACCTTTGTGAAGTGGGTCAGTATCACACAGCTTTGAATGGAAAAACTGCTCAGTGGAGACAGAGCACTTCACAGGGAAAAAGTGCCATCACTCTCATTTTAAGATAGTCACTTTTAGATGTGTTAAGGTTAATAAATGCTTTTCTTACCTAGAAAGTCTGAAAGAGTTAAACTGAGTAACTTGGGACTGGGAGGTGCAATCCCTGTTCTTAGACATTTTCTCCTTATTCACTTTCCTTTTACCACCACCTTGCTTCAGCTGATGCTGCCCAGAGTACAAATGGAGACTAATGCTTTTCTTAGAACAGGGCTGCCTGCATGCCATTTCCCCTTTCCAAAACGACCGATTAGTTCTGCCATCTGGATGTGCCAGTAGCCATATTCATCTTGTTGCTAGTCTAAAATACCAAAATACCCTGGACTTACCAAGAACCAACAGCTGGGAGCTTTCAGTTACTTCCCCATGAAGATTGGATGCCTTGCAGGTGTATAACCCCTGATCTGATAGAGAAACATTTGCTATTAACAGCAAACCGTTATGCAGATGGTGAGTAGAGGACAGCTTGACGTTGTTCTTAAACCAAGTAACTTTTGCTTCAGGAACACCTGGAAAAACATTGGTAAAGTGTAACTAACACAAGTAAGTATTGCGAAGCAAAAAATACTTGTAAGGCAAATAGTGGAAGAAGAGATGAGAAGTACTGAGTGAAGGCTAAAGAAAAAGGGGAAGGGACAAGGAAAATTTCATATAGCCACAGTCCTTTAGAGCAGTGAGTCAAATAAAACAACTAAATGAATACAGAGACAGACACAATTAGTATGCTTCTTGCAGGCAGCTACTCAGATAGTCCTAGTCCAGAAAGGCAGATTCTTCTGCACTTCACTAGCAGAAGAAGAAACAGGCTAAACATGAGATCTCCATAATGTTGAGGTATTGCTATTGAGTCTAAGAAAGAAGCACTGTGCCTACAAAATGTTCACCAATGTTACGAAAACATTTTTCTAATTGTACTCTGTAAGAGTGGACTTCCCCTGTCTTCAATGTTTCCACACTAACAGGAGATTTGCAGACACACAGCTCTTTCTACAGTTTGCTTTGGGGAAGATGAGCAGTGGATGTCAATGAGCAGCCTCAAGATGGGAGCAGGAGGCAGCCAGCACAGGCACGAGCAAACACATGTTGCATCTCTGGCGCAAGGAGCAGCAAGAGCATTTCAATCAGCTTTGCTGGGTAACGGCGGATGCCAGCAGACAAAGGGCCGAGTGCTTCCCTTGCAGAAGTATCACAGAGACTAAAAGTCTGAGAGGCGTCAGCTGGAAACAGAACTCACTTTGCTGGGCAGGCAAGACTTTAGGTAGTGAGTAATTACCCGAGTCTATTCTTCAGCTTTCCCCTCCATCAATGTGCATGTGTCCAGCACAAAAAGACTACATGGAATATTAGTAAGAAGCATCGTGGAAGTCCATTGAGATAATTTTGCTAAACCAGTGGCTCTGGGAGAAAGGAATCACTGCAATACAAGTTTCTAACAGTGGTGACTATCTTCCAATGCCACAACATTCTTGAAATAGTGAATAATATTTCACAATCTGGTATAGATGATGAATAAACATGGGCCATATATCAAGGCAAGAATTAGAAAATAAAACCTCCAACATGTAGGTGAAATACAGAGAAAAGGACTGTTTAGGAGAATTGAGAAAACTGCAATTAGAACAACAAAGATACAAGGAGATAAGGACAGGAAGGTAACATATTTTAAGCCATCCTTCCAAACCTGTTCTGACTCAACAGCCACTAATTGTACATGACATTTTTCAGAATGCCCTACAAACTATATTTTTAAAACTGGTTCCTTCTTACATGTCAAACTGTATTTTCAGTAACAGTCTGGGCCATCTTTCTTGAAGCTTCTGGTATGCAAATTTAATCACTGAAATCGACAGAAAGCTTCCTAGTGATGCTGATGTGATCCAAATTGCTCTCACATCCTACTTTTGAGTGAAATGGTGCACAGTACTAAAGTTACCCGCACCAAAAATGCTGCTGGCTTTCTGAGGCTTGGAGCAAATCCTCCAGCTGAAAGTCACAAGAATCTGCAAGACTCCTAAGTGACTTTTGGGTGGGAGTTCTCCTAGGATTAGTTTTGGAAAAGTCTGGAATTTACCACAATCACCTAACAATAGTTAAAAAATATATTCCTTCACCTCTATAGACAAAGAAGTGATGTTATGTCAAGTGAAATAATGTTTGCTTTCAATCTTGATCAAAACCATGACATTGTCTTTGTGGTAAAACTGAAATAGGGCTTCATCTTGGCATAGATCACATCAGGTGCCAATTAAACTCTAATGCATTCAGAATAATTCTATTTTCCCTTGTCTTTCAGTTAATGTTTATAGATTTCAACTCAGAAGACAGACTTTTACTGTGCTCATGCCTGTCTTAAGAAGATGAAAAGCGATATAAAATCACTGCCTAGGCTTTGGTTGCATACTCTTCCATTATCTCTTATTTTTAAGAAACCTTCTCCAGGTGAATCAACATCTGTATATTTCTGGCCCTTGACAGAAAATGCAACTTTAGAGAATATCATAACTGATCCTTAATATTTCTCTTGTAAGTATCTATTCTGGTGTCTTGCTGACTCTCAGTAAAGATGTGTCCTTACATGAGCTGAGATATCCAGAGCCAATACACACACGGTCACAGCCTGTACAGCACAGTGATAGAAACACAGCTTATATTAATGGGATAAACTGTCACTGAACTCTGACCTAGAACAACCCTCATTAGTTGTGCTGGCTCAGGACATCCTAACATGACTAGAGAGAAAGTACTAGAAGGAAAAACTATAGCTTTACAACAATGTGTGAAGAGCTGTTTTCATCCAGACAAGTCTCCACATAATTTCTGGATATGTTAATTTGTTTTCTATCTGTGTTAACTTTGCTCTCACATGCTAATCTATTTTTTTAATGCCAGATGTTATTGCATTAACAGTTGCATGTTAATTTACTATGATTTAGTAGCCAATTCATTGTTAATGTTTTCTGGGGAGCTTTGGCAAACTATACAGATGTAAAGTTTATCTACCCTAAAGAACTCACTAGGATACAACACATTTACTGACTGCAGAAGTAGTGCACGTTACTCTTTTCCTTAGAACTGATTGTTCTAAGGATGATCAAAACTACATAAAAGGCTAAATGATCATAAAGCTGATGCTAAAACAAAGAGGTTGTGCTTACATTAGGAGGAAAACTGCATTTATTCACATACTATGTTGCAGGTTTTATGAGCTGGTTCATTTTCCAGATGTAGGTGAGATGTTGATAGAAATTGTTGTTCTTGGATCATTCCTCCAGGTAGCTTGTTTTGCAATTGCTGTTGAATTATTAAGACTATTTTTATAAAATTGGGATTCTAGTTCCCCTAAAACATATCTTCCCTCATTGCTAACTCTCTTATTCCCCTTGTAACATCCCAGCTTATGGTTTATGATTTTATGATAATTTCAAGAGCATTACTCTCCGGTATCAACATAGTTAACACTTTATATGGAGGTAGTAGCATAAGATTTTGTTTTTTAACTCACAGAGAGAATTAGGATTTAAGAACATTTCTTCTGTGTCACAGAAGATTCCAATATAAAGATACTAGATAGCAAAAAGCTTTCTCTTAGACAAGAAGACACTGCTAAAATTTTCCATTTTGGATGTTGTCATAGTGGGTGAGTTTCACAAAATTGCTAGAGATTATTTTCCCCTCTGAAAAGACTTTGAATCTGTGTTCCTTACAATTTTGAGCTTTCCTCCTGTAATTTTCTGATATTGTAAGTACTGTGGAAATTTTGTTTAGTCACATCCTGTTGTTTACCTGGTGCTTTTGGTGAAGAGAAATGGCTACACTTAGATCAGCAATAACAGTCTGAATCTGTGCATTATGTGTCTGGGCAGCCAACAGAACCCAGAGAGTGAAATCCAAAATAATTTGTGTCAATATAATATTTAGTCTCTTTTGCACATTGTCCGTGCAGGTGAGCATGGTGAGACCTGGGGGAATAAACACGTATCATTTTCATCTTCTTCCTTGAAAGTCACTGGGCACTAGTCTGATTGCAAGAGTGTGTCATACTGTGCATAAAAGAGTAATGAATCCATGGTATGGCTGCAGGTCTTTAGAGATTTCCCAGCTCCTCCTCCTTATATCAACACCATTCCCACCAACAGCCGTAGGACTGCCACACACAGATAAGGTCAACCCATTTTTGTTACCACTGGAAAGATGCAAACTATCATTGTAAGACTGAGGGATATTCAGTCTCTGACTGGAAAACAGCTTTTGGGAAAATCCCGCTGCATTAGAATTCCTCTGAACTCCTGTACTTCCAAGATGAAAAAAAAAAAAAAAAGAAAAAAAAACAGGAAAAAAAAAAAAAGAGTGCTAACAAGCCTCTAATGTAAAATAAGTTTGGCAGGAAAAGAAGAAAGTAGTTGGAGTGATTTTAAAAATCCCTATCAGTAATAAAATTAGTCAGTCCATGCTTGTATATTGTCGCGGAACATCCCCAACAGGAAGCCACGTGTAACAGTTTTGTTGCATTCAGACCATACCATGTATCTCTTACAATGATGCCTGTCGCATTGGCTCAGGTTTTTTTTTTTTTTTTTGTGTTTGTTTTTCTTTTTTTTTTTTTTGAGCCCAAGTTTTTAAACACTTGCCTTGCTTGATACGGATAAAAAGGGGACAAATTTTATTATAAGAATTAATGGAAGCAATGATGTTTGTCCAAGACCTAGGAAAACCTTGCAATTTCATTCAGCTGCAACTGTAGATACCAATTTAGCAAAGAATCCCACAGAAATTTATAGCCAAAGGCACTGGCACAGGAGAGAATAATTTTTTACCTGCAACCTGGCAGTTAATGCTAACGTTTGCTTTCTGGATTGTTTTCAGCGTGCTTCCAATATCAACCATGACAGCCAGTGATTCAGTGTTGATCATGGTAGCTCTTGATGCCTTTATCAGGGGCTTTCCTGCATAAAAGAAGCACCACAGTTTATCATAACAAGCACATCAGAGTCACAATGGGATAGATAGGCTGGAACACTCCTTGTGAAAGTACATACAACAGGCAGGCAGATAACAGAAAATGAAGTGTAAGACCCCTGCTTTTTCTAATATTTCAATGTCATCAAATTCCATGAGTAAAGTTGTCTTGAAAAAGGAAAACACACACTTGAAGCCGAGGCAGAATAGCATTAAAGCCATATGGACATACAGGAGAACCAGCTGAATCAATAAACACCAGCACAACTGGAGCTGCAGTGAGATGCTTGCCTGGTGCTGCAGCTGCACCACCACCCTTTGGTAAAGACTAAATCCAGCAGCCTGAGTGATGGCTACAAGAATAGTGGAGAAAGTTTAGCATAACATGCAAGCTGTTTCTACACACTGATCATGGTTTCCTTAACCTACAGGGGAAACACCAGTGTGGGGAAGACCAGATCATAACCAGAAAGTTTTCTCACAATAGCCAGCAGAAGAAGATGAGGATATAAATTGTATTAATGCCATACACTGTTACTACGTGTTTTAGATAAAACAAAACAGGTCATCTGATGGGAAGGGGTTTATCTTAATAGAGCTACTGCTTGCCCACAATAAAGTGTGCTTTCAACATTAGTGAGAGCAAGTCATGGTGTTTTGCTGCTTTTGTGTCTTTGTGGGATTACTTATGAAGTTATCCAGGATCAATGGCTCAAGAAGCCTTCTGCAAAACCTTTTGTTGTGCTACTGCAAAAGGATGCTTACAAAACAGGTGAGAGGTACCCAAGCTTAGCTTTGAGAGAGAGGACTAATGCAGCAGAGCTGAAAAAAGCTGAATTAAGGTCTCAGAGAAAGTGCTTTGCAGTCAGGATGTTACAGGAATAGCTGAACATAACACAATTGCTTCAAATCACATGGGAATTGGGTGTCTTTGACTCAGTGTTATGTTTTCAAGCACACAATTAAAAAAAAAATCTATAAACATATTTTTTCCCCCATTTTAAATAACTGGTCAGATATCAAACCAGATATCCTCGTTTGCCTCCAAAAGCTGCAGTTTCAGGCTAATGTCTATCACTAGCTTTATTTGTGTGTTAATTTTGCACTGGCTCACAAAGAAAAGATGGATGTGAGAAAAATAATTTGATTTCATTGAGCTCATGGAGAGTTCTGAAAATTTAAGTCAGTCTTAAATATAAATCTCTTCATATAGCTGTATTCCCACGTCTTTTAAAATATACCATTCATCTGTAACTCCCATCTTATCAGTTCGGTATTTTTTTGTATTTTACATTTTTTTAGTTTGGTGATTTTAATGCCCAAGAACAGCTATGTAAAATACTGCATTTTATTGTTTGAATACCTCCAAAAGTTTTGATACTTTTTGGCAAAGTCTAAAGAAATTAAAAATTCTTCAGCTCTCCATCAGCCTTTTATTTTCCTGATTGGTTTCCATAACCCCACCACAAGATTAAAAATCTTTTAGCTGTTGAACCCATAAATGAGTAGGAAACCATTGTGGAAAAAAAAAAAAACAAACATATGTCGGAACTCAAAATGTCTCTCAGACATTTTCAGAGGTTCCAGGCCTTGGTCAGAAGCATTTTAGACCCTGGCAAACAGCTGAAAACATCTTTGATCTTGAGTTTGAGCCATGGAATGAGTTACCAACTTTGAAGGTGGAACAAGCGGTCACAGAGAGTTAGATGGTATAGTAAAAGTAGTCACAAATTAGAGGGGAAAATTTTTTAGTATTGTACAAGGGGGTTTTAACACCTGTACAGGGGGGTTTTACTTTGTACAGGGGGGTCAGGAGTTCTAAGATGGAGGAAAGTGGGCCTGATCCTGTTCTTCCTCCTTCTTCTTCCTTACCTCCATGTTCTTGGTGATGTTGGCATTCACAGATTGGTTTAGAGTGGAAGAGCACATTGTAACATAGATAGTAGGTATTGGGGAAAATCTGTAAACATATAATACGTAATATATCATATAAAAGATAGCAGCAGCCTTGGACGGAGAGAGACGACGAAGACACTGGACAGTGAGGGTGTCAGGAGAGTGTGTGCCTCTGCCTGGGCCGCTGACCAAGGCAGCCGCAGCGGGCGAGGACAATCTTTTAGATAACTAGCAATAAACTACCTTGAGACCGAACAACAAGAGGCTGCGGAGTCTTTCTTTCGAAGCACAGGTTGGAGGAGAGACTTTACCACCACATGAGACCCCAGAATCAATCCCGGGGTTCTCACAAACATATTCCACTGTCTTTTTTTTTCCATGCATGTGTTAAATGAATCAGAAAATTCTTCAATGAAATAAGCTTTTGTCCCCACTCTTGATTCCTCTAAAGATGATCTCAGCTTTCCATGTTTTTTGGAGAAAATACTTCCATTATGCCAAAAAGATTGTTACTTTGTTCCAAAAACTGCTCAGCATTTCACTTTGCTATTTATGGCCTCACTTTATAAGCTGTTCAGCTCTTTGCCTTGGATGTGAGATGCAAAAGTATACCAGTTCCTAAGAGGAGTTTTGCTTTAGTCTGGGAAGCATGAATATTAATTCACCTAAAATTTTAAATATAAAAGCTATAAATATATAGCTTTGATAATTAAATATAATAAAAAATTTAAAGTCTTTCTGTGTCACATGTATACCTAATGCGTTATTTTTACAGTGTCATACAAAATTATTGCCACAGCATGTACAAAAACTCTGGCTTTTACACTCACTGAACAATGTGGACAGAATAGCAGTTTTGACTGATGATTTTTTAATGTCATGTTCAGCTTCATGCTGGTGAGGCATAAGAGGTTTAGTGTGGCGGTTTAGTTGCTTCTAAAATATGACACTGCCCTAACGGCAGCAATTCTACCTTGCTGCCTGGAGTTCAGCAAAGTTTTTTCTGATAGTAGTAGTGCAAAAAGGCTTGGTCTCTTCAGTTTTGCCTACAGGTAATTTGTAGCTCTAATTCAGATCTTTCCTTTTTGCTCCGGAAGGTTCACCCATTCTGTTAAAGAACAAGACAAAGTCTCTTTCTATTTGATTTCCTGATTACTTTTCTAAGCTTCACTGTTACCCACTGTTGCCTTCTTAGATTTTCTTTATGCTTCTCTTAACTGAAATTTTCTCTGTGTTTGGTGTAATTTTTTTTCTAAATTAAATCTAATCAACACCTGTTCCTTCCTCTAGTCATACATGGATACAATGGCAGCTGATGGTTGCTGCCTATGCATTGGAAGCCTCCAAGCATTTCCACATGCTGAGGCAGTGAAATGGATAAGTTTGCAAAATCAAGAAGCTTTTCCGTATTCCTAGCATGTTTACTTTTGCCTTGGTGATAAATCCTCCTTCTGTAAAACCTCTTTGCCCTGTCACAGTCCTTAGCTGTCATGTCTGCTGCTCCACCCTTCTGCTAGTCCTGATGTGATTGTGAGCCTGATGACCATGTCTGCTAGGGAACCTGGAAGAAGCTGGATTCATACTTCTAACTCACTTTGACATTGGCTTTTATCTGGATCAGTTTTTTTAGAATTGGATTCTAAACCAGCACAGGATATTTAATCTGCTTTAGAACCTGTTACTAGAGAAATAGGAACATGGAATCTAATTTTTTGAGAACCTCTATTTGCTACAATTGAAATAGTGTTAGCCATGCTTGTGACTGAATACAATGTAGAGTTTGATCCTGTAAAAGATTCAGCTCTGGAAGTTTCCTGGCTTGCCTAATGTACACTTGAGTAACTCCTGCAATCTATCTGTATATTTGAACAGATCAGCGTTAGGTTTAAAATGAAGCATAATGTTTGGAGGTTTGAACTGCACTGCCCCTACAGGATGGAAATAACCAGGATAAGCACTGTTTTCAAGAACATGTCAGATACAAGTGAGAAAAAGCATTGATGTATTGCAGAGACACATAAACCTCACAAACTACCTATAAAAGTCTCAGGTTTTTGCAGAGGTCATACCCTGTATTTTCACCAGTGTACTTCTGTTGATGCATTTTACATAGCTTTAGCAAACCTGTTCCCCTGCAAACAACTTCTATCCAGATTCACACAAGTAACATGGACCTGCAATCACAGAGGTTACACTATTACCTGCTAGGGTGACAGCAATGGAGACAGAGTCAGATCCTAGGGCATTGGATGCATTGCAAGCATAGAAACCCACATCTGCTTCCACAGGTGCTAGAATCTGCAAGGAGTCATCAGGCTGAAGGAGCAACCTGGCATAAAGCAGAAAGAAAGAAAGATGTAATAGTCTCTTAGTCCATGTGAACATGAACATATTTACTGGGAATTTTTAGGCTTAGGTAATATTTTTTATAGATCAGGCCTTTAGATTAAGTTAAAAAATCTATGAAGAAATTTAAATTCTTACATTGAGACTGTAAGTTGTGATTTCTTATATTAAATTTTAGTCTCATTCCCAGTTCCTCTACTGCTGATATGTGTGTTAAAGAAAGACTGACAAGTAATTAGGACATCTGCCCAGTGAAACCTCCTCCTCTGCTGTAACACTTCTGCATAATGCTGACTGAGTTTCCCAGCATTGCTGTCTTCCAGTTCTGCAGCATAGGAATAGCAATAGTAGAGAAAAAGCCAAATTATTGCAAGGGAAAAATCATGAAACATGCTGAAGCTATGCAGAAAGAAGTGAAGTGAACCACAGGGTCAATGTTAAAGCCTGAAATCATTTCAGATTCTTTTATTGATGGGCAGCTTGTACAAACTCGGCAGTTTTGATTCTTCCCTAATAGTCAGTGAAGACAGAGAGGATTTTTCAGCTCCTCCTTGGGCCAAATCCACTATTTCTTTCCACTGTCAGTAAGAGGAACCTACCAGGAGCTCAGTGTACTGCCTATGGTTAAATTGAATTAACATGGACTTAGTGCTCTTATGAACTGCTTCTTTTCACTGTCTGGTTTTACAGCGGTATAACTCATAAGGTCGTGACATACACTATTCCAGCAAGAATTCAGTCCATGGGTTTGTGCTTATGTACCCTTATTTTCATCACACTGTGTTTCATGATTGTTGCTCCTTTCTCTGAGTTTTCTTTTTGGCTGAAACTGTAGCTAAAATCTATTGTTCTCATCAGCAACTTTCAGCAGTTGTTGCTTGTAAACTCTGAATAGAGGCTGTGATTGACAGTGGGTGGCAAGGGTGAAACTGGGGGAGGGATATGCCTGTAAAACACATGCAATAGAAATCTGCTCACAGATCCTGGAATTGATGAGTTTCTTTACTCATTGATGAGTTACTTTACTCCCATCACCACTATAAAAACTGTTGTCTCATGGACGAAAAAGCCACAGATACTTGATTTTGTGTAACACTGTGGGTGGTAGATCTCTAAACCAAACCAGATTAGGGCCACCCACCAAAATGTATTAGAGGGAAAATTCTCCAGAGTTAACATTATTTTTTACCCTTTTGTGAGTGATAAGAAAAATAGTCATTATCAATAAAAGAAACACCTGTTTTTAAACAAGTTTTGTAAATGCTTAGAAAAATTAACATTTGCAAAACAAACATGAATACTTTTAAAGTTGCATCTGTGTTTGCACGGCCAAAAACCTGCCAATTGTTGAATTAATTCCCTTCCCACTTTTGCTGTCAAGGAAAACCAGGGCTGACTAGATAGTCACTACTAACAGTGACAATAACTAACAGATTTTTTTATTTGCAGAACATCAGTATCTCACACATAAATTTTTAGTTTAAAACTGACTGCTTCAATCGTTACATGGAATTCATTAAATCTTCAGAAGTTGTCCCAAATTATAACAGCCTGTAACATTTAAAAGTTCTTGTGTTCTGTCTGCATGTCTTCAAATACAGCATGTAAGCAGGTCTTCAGTTTACACCAAACTAATGCTTACAAGGCCCTTAAATTTTAATTAATGTTTCTGACATCTTCAGGCTGAGGAAAGATCTTGCCTAATATTTCACCTTATAAAACACAAGGATACATAATTTGTTTGTTATTAATCACTTCTCCTTACATAAACCACTTTCTGTCAGCTTAAGTCACCGCAAGATCCAGCACAAATATTTGAAAAATAGAGGTAGTCCAGGTAGATACTTGACTTTTTAAAAAAATAAACTCTTACAGCTCCATCCTCATGTCCTTTCAACCCAAGTTTTAATGTCTTTCTCCAGAAACAAACATAATGTCCTCTTCTTTTTAATAATTCTGTTATTTTTGCAACACAATTTAGCATAGATACTTTTCTTGAAAGCAGATCCTTTATCAATCCTCATTGTATAGAATTATTTTGGCTGAATTGCCTATTTGCTCATAGATTGCTATTTTTGTTAGGTATTGTTTTTAATTAAAGTATTAATTATACTTTCCTCAGACTTTCTGATAGAAATTTTGAACACACACAACTGACTGATAGATCAGAAACAAGCCACAACATTAAAGGCAGTTTTAGTCAAACTGAATGGGAAAGAAAAAAAGATTGAAAAGGAATTGTGAAATTATATATAAAAAAATCTGAACTAAAACTTCAGGAATCATATAAGTGACTTTTACTTCAGCTAAATTAATCTACATGTTGTTTATAAGGGGTGGAAAAAAGCCAGCCAGCTGTAGCAATTCTTTAAGTCACCAGCAGGTCTTCAGAATCTCATTTATGGACTGAAAATTATACAGCTTAATATTTAATCAATCTCATCTCAGTTGCTCCACACTGCATTGTCTCCAAAACAAAAAAAAAAAAAAAATTCAGGACATATATCAATGACTAAATCAGACAACTGCCTAACAAACACCTCACAAACACCTAACTTCATAGCACTTACTGTTCATATGCTGCTCCGTGACCTTTTATAAAATTTATTTCTGTTTCAAAGAAGTTGAATCATCAAGTACCAATGGTTTTCCAGTGACAGAAATTGCAGCATACATGCAAGGCTTACTAAATAATGCATAAATTCCTCAAAGAATTTTCACTTTTAAAATTGATTCCCAAGGAATTTAGTCTGAATTTTCTCCAAAATAAAATATTTTCCAACATATACAGCAATCAAAAAACTTTGATATGGATATTAGTAGGCTCTGAAATGGCATTCAGACCCCATGCTGTTAACTTGATGCTTTAACCTTAGGAGAGAGTAAGTCTTTTGTTAAATATGCACTCAGGACGAATAGGCTGACACAAGTTGGAGATCTTTTACTGGAACCACAGATAGTTTCAACTGTTGTAGCTCTTTGTGTCATATGTTTTTGTTCTTGTAAGTAACTGAAAACCAGCACTTTCTGGAGGCCTATGTTAAATCTTTTTGTGACTGTACCCATACTAAAGCCAAACAAAATTAATTTTTGCAAGGATAGTCACACAATAGAAGTCATACCTTTAGGTGGATGAAATAGCTTAGGGAATGGGACAATGAGAATAAAGCCATACATCAACCATCATTATTGGACATCACTGGCTCAGACAAAACCCATGACCACAATGTGTAAAGGTGAATGCTTTATCTCAGTGGTTTGTATATAAAAAACAGGCAGCTGTCACCCAACATAAAACCAGCAGCCGATACCCTAAGAATTGCAATACCCACCAAGTACTTCTGAAATCTCAGTATGTTCAATAGGGTGTGACCTGAGGAACTTCAGCATTACTCTCTGGCCATTCTCAGGCTGGTACAAGAAAACCCACCTCTATTTATTTCCTTATTAAGACAGAGGTGGGCTGGAAAATCCTCTTCTCCATTCAATGGTTGGCAAAGTACGAAGCAAACAAACCGCAGAGCTAAGGGACAGTTCAAACATACCAGACATACCACCACATGTTTACATCTGCGGCCTTGCAGTTTACAGCGGGACACTGTAAGACTCTTAAAACCGCTGCTTCCATTGACACAGCTGACTAATGGGCAGCAAGAGCATTCTGAGCCAAAGCCAGAATACAATACTGATCTTAAAGAACTCAGAAAAAAAAAAAATTCACAAAAAATTAGCTCCCAAGATATAGGTGTTGAGTTGCACCTGAAGCTCAAAGCATGGTAATTTCTTCCCCCACACATCAGCCTGGGGGAACTATAAATGATGAGTGCAAAAAGAAGTTCATATAGCAGAAACTACCTCAATATTTAAAGAAGAGTTGTGAATGACGTATGCCACTAACTGGAAAAAAATTATACTTTCCTCAGACTTTCTGATAGAAATTTTGAACACACACAACTGACTGATAATTCAGAAACAAGCCACAATATTAAAGGCAGTTTTAGCCAAACTGAATAGGAAAGAAAAAAAGATTGAAAAGGAATTGTGAAATTATATATAAAAAAATCTGAACTAAAACTTCAGGAATCATATAAGTGTCTTTTACTTCAGCTAAATTAATCTACATGTTGTGATACCATGAGAGATTCTAGGGTATAAAATAAACGTGCCAATTTCTCATGTCTGTAATGTCTAGCATTCCTCATATATTAACTTCATTTAACATCCCTTCCCTTTCATGGATGCCACAGAAGTCACAGTAATTTCAAGTAGAGAAAAAACCTCAACTTAATGGCCCAATTCTAATGGGATATAAACACTAGATGAAAATTTATATATGAAACTTGTTTTGGGGTGGCCTACAGATATTTTCACAGTAGTATATCTAAATGAAGGGATTCTGTATGTCCAAGTCCTGATTATGACTGTATGTGATTTCGACCACAGGTACATTCTTGTTCTCCGTGAGCTCTACCCCTTCAAAAGTTACTTTTTTTTTTTTTTTTTTTTTTTTTTTTTTTTTGTGTTAAATTTAATATACTTGTTAGCCTTCAGACAGAGAGACAAGAACCAGGAAACTCAGATCATTATAGAAAGCAATTACTTTTTCATTGATTCAATAGTAAAAATAAAGAAGGAGCTAAGAAGCTAATTTCATAACTGTATAGATGGGGCAATTTTACCTAAATCAAGAGTTTACTGGATGATCCATGGGCACCACACTGGAAATTAATTTCTGTTTTGACTCCCTCTTTTCGCATGACCTTATGACTAAATGTATATGTTTGAGCTGAGGTCAGTATCTTATGCAGAAGGAGCTGTTAGCAGATCCCTGGACAACTTTTTTGTACTGTGTTGCTCATTATTACTGCCTACTACAGTCTTTTCCTGTTCTTATATAATGATTTTTCACAGAACAGAACCAAACTATAAAATCCCAAGCATACACATGAGAAGAATGTATGTTATCAACACAGTTGAACATATAATGTGTACTGAAAATAACTTCTTTGTGCTCCTCCACACAAATTAATAATGTGGAGTGAGTGGAAAGTAAATACTACCTAAAGGAAAAACAGCATAATTTTTTTGGTATACTGATAACAGCTTTTTTTTTGCCAACTTCTCAGGTGACACCTGGGAGCAGCATTCCAGAATTTAAACAGATGAGGATTCACCAATTCAGATGAGAAAACAAAGGCTAAATGATCGGTCTGTTGAGATGACAGCAAAGCTGCAAACAGCCATGAGGTGTAGTTCCACAGTTTACAGCCTTCATCAGAATATACACAGTAAATGGTGATTGTAATGCCCTTTGAGGCTTATCCTGGGACAGTTTAATGCATATGTGGAAGGTCAAAGCCTCATCTCCTCCGTCTTCTCTTACATATCTCTCAAGCCCCCCTGGAGCACTAGGAGAAATGCAATTTCAGCTCCAACAGAGGATAACAGCAACAAACAATGACCAGTTTTCATATCTCTATATCAATCTTCATAGCACAAAATCTCCACCTTCAGATGGGAAAATAAGCTATGACTCCCAGTCTCTGGATGAAGAATTCTCTGTTGACTGTATTAGGCATTTATGTCCTTTAGTACTTTCAATCCCTTCTTTTTTACTTACTCAGTCAGAAGTAAGGCTCCTGTCTGACCCAGCATCCAGACCTTGCTGAAGATTTACAGTGCCCTGTTTAACCCATTTACCAATTCACATGCATTTGCCCTTCCTCCTGTTATGAAATCAGACTACAGCAAAACATGGCTTTGTCCACGGAGTGACTGGTAGTAACACATGGAAAGTGACGAGTCAAAATATCAATTATTTTCTTAAAAGTTAATAACATGCTTTACCTATCATTGTATTTCACTTCCTCTCCATTCTTAGCCCAACTGATGGTGGGCTTTGGGTTTCCCACTGCTTCACAGTGAAGCAGCACACTCAGTGTGCCACTTGCTAGGACCACCGTCTGTCCCAGGTGGGTGACCACCTCTGAAGCAGAAAGTTGTTGTGCTGCTGAAATCTTTCGGAGGATGGCAGGCTTTTGATGAGGCCTGTGCAAGCCATTTGCCAGGTCTACAGAGGTGGGAATAAATGTTTCAGCAGATGATGTCCTCAGGGAGCTGGTAAATCCAGAAACACGTCTGTGGAAAGGGTACTCAGCTGAGGCTGAATAAACTTTTCGCCTTGATGCTTTGAGCACAGATTCCTGGTGGTCCAAGTAGCTCTTGAAAACTTCATGGGCTAGGTGAATAATAAGATGCTCAGTGTAGATATCTTTAAGCTCTTCAGGCTGTTGAGACAAGTTCCTTATGATATCATCCAGGCGCTTCTGCTCTGTGACCATAGTAAATGGCAGGCTATGCTCCTGGCTCTGGTCCTCTTCTGAGGATGCATTTCTCTCCACAGACTCCTGGGCTTCCCAGGACTCCAAATTTTCCACTGGCCACCCTCTGAGCTGTAGCAGCCTTGAGACAATATTGTCATACCATCTGCTGGGGTTAGCAAGGTGCCCTTGCTTTTCAGGCTTGCTACCATTGAAGAAAATCCCATTGAGATGTTTATCCTCTGTTCGCAAGGCATCATTTAAGCCAGCCTTTGTCATGGCTTCTTCCTCCCTAATACCAGCTGGCTGCCCAGAAATGATCTTCTTGTTGCTTCCAATCAGTTTAATTATGAAATGCTCTCGGGCTGGCCCTGCTGTGCAGGTGTATGTCCCAGTGTCTGAAGGCTTCAGATGATGGATTTTCACGTACTCGTAGGGTGCAATGGTGATGTGAGCTGAACTGACAAGCCTCTTGTCATCCTTCTCCCAAGTGATCATTGATTTCCGGAACCTCCTTGTAGGGCATCGGAGGACAACAGAAGTTTTGGGCAGCAGGTAGGCATATCCACCCACAATGAAATGCAGTTTCTTCTGCTTCCTTGTCTGGATGTAAACTTGCTTTACAGCCATAATATGAGGGCTTTGCTTATGAGCCGGTCTGTTGTGCCCTGAAATATCATTATATAATTAGTGTGTGATACTATTAAACTAAACAAGTAGTTTACATTGTTGTGGGCAGCATTTGACCAATTAGACAGTAAGGGGAGAACCCGGCCACCAGCTGCTATATATTAAATTAGAACAATCAAAATAAGAGGAATAACAAGATACACTTCAGGAACGTGAAAGTGGCCTAGAGAATATGCAGAAACCAAATAGTCAGGGATAAAAGCTTTACAGGAGAGAGAAAACTTCAGTGGAAACATGGTTCTTGTTAAAGTACTTAAACAAAGACTTATTAAAGAAATGCACTGAATAGTGTTTATCATCCAAACCTTCAATGTGATCAACAATGTGATCTTGCAGCTCACAACACTAAGGAAGAATTAAAGTCTTGCTACTAAAGGAGTGATGTTGGACAGAAAAAAACCTCTCTGGGCTAGGCTTAAAAACATGGTAAATACTATTAAAGTGCACTACTTCAGTGTGTCCTTCTGGTTTCCTGATCTCTGTGTCAGTAATCTTTATTATGAAGCACTAAATTAAGCTGCATAGCCATATTATTAGTAAATACCATGCAAAATTTGGTCCAAGCTTTAATTCTAAACATCAGATCATCTTTTCTCCGCACATACCCAACATTCAGCAGTTTCAGAGGCAAGCTGAAGCTAGGTTGACTTTCACATATCCAGCTGGCTTACTGCAAACTAGGGAAGAGTGTACAGGGGGACTTGTGATGGGCAAAAACAAATGCATGAACTACCAACATAAAATACATCTAACTTGTATTACACATGGTTTATTAGAATTACATATTCCACATGGTTCATTAGAAATCTCACGTCATAGAGAATTTGGAGTGACATAATGAAATAATAAGTTTCTCAATGATCATCAGCAAAATCCCTTCCCAACCATTTTCCTTGTAGCTGTTCTAGCAGTTTATTTGCTTCAGCCCTCTGGCTGCTGTGCTGTATCTCTGAGCCTCTACATTCCAGCTGTGAAATTCAGATCAAGATTTTGGTCAGAATTTTGTGCCAGTTCTTCCAGGAACTAGTAGCTCCCTTCCAGCACATTGGCTGATATCCAACTCCATTAGTGAAATCTGTAGCACTCCTCCAATGGCTTGGCTTATTGACAGACAGAAAAACCCACTCCACAAAACTGAGTAATACTAGTGCAAAAGCAGGCTGTGAAGCAGGAAATAGCACAGATTTCTTAGTGAAGGACTTCCAATCCCTTTTCCCCAGACACTGCCAAACACCTTTTCCACTTACGTGCACAGGGGCCTAGTGAGCAGGGCCTGATCAAGGATGAGAATGGCAAAGGGAGGCAGAGTGAGGAATTGATAATAACAAAGCCCCTGGTTTTCAGCATCTTTCTGCAAATAGCATTTCGACTCTGTGTGCCTTCTCCACAGCTCACTGAACACTAGGAACAGAATGAGAAACAATAGGAGAAATGAAAAAGGTGCTCCTTGTCACACACTCCCTCCTCACTTCCCATATCCACATTGCATACACACAGCGCAGGATAGAGCAGTTATAGTTTTCAAAATGTTACAGCGGTATAAAGCAGAGCAGCATCTGACCATGCAGCTGCAAATTGTGCGGGCATAGTAAGGAGATTAAATACTTGTTATTTTCTGTCCTGTAAGACTTAAATTCTTTCCATGCTCATGTTACCATTTCTTTTCTGTCAGATGGGGTCTCTTGTTTTAATGATACTGTGCTAGAGTTCAAAGCAGCCTTTGAGCTTTGTTTCTATATGTCTGTGTCTGCTGGCTGGAAAAACTCCAGCTCATGTAAAAGAGCAGACCTCATGGAGTTGAAGATCACAGTTGCATTCTGGCCAGATAAAATCTGACCTAAGCTTAATCTTTAAGCTTTGCTGTTGCAAATCCATTTAGGAATAATAAAGGGATGAGTATTTTAGTCACCAATCAATTACCTCAGCCTTCTAATTACTACTACACATGGCCTACACAGAATAGTATAAACCCTCTAATACCAGACTGTAGTGCTTGTTGCACAGGTGGACAAGGTTTGATGGACTTCAGAATAGGTATTCAGTTTCATATTTATGCATATAGTATTGTGGAAAATGAAATACAGACAGTGCCTCTTTGCACTGGAACCAAGCAGCAGTCTGTAATTACCATCTTCACCACCAGAATGGCTAAATGCCTCCTGCAGAAGACTTTATGAAAACATCCACTACTTTGACTAAAATGCCCAGACTGATCCCCATAAGAATGGTGCAGGTGGGACAGCTCGGTAGGGCGAGTGGCACTTCTTTTACAATTTCCAGTTTCCGATTTCCACTGCCTTCTGTGAAAGAGGACTGGAAGAGTAGTGGTAGAAACTGAAAGATGTGCAATGATTTTCACGCTTACTGGCATGAACCTTTGCCTTTGCTTTGACCTTATAAAGTAAAATTATATTTTTATAATATCTCTCCTCCTGTCCCCTTTCATTCACCTCTTCTCCTGTTCCCTCCCTTCTTCTTCTTTTCTATTCTCTTCATCATAGGAAAGGGTTGGAGTGGCCCCAAGAGGAAAAGACTATCAGAACAGCTAAGTTTTGTCAACAAAGAGCATGTAGTCTAGGGTAATAAAGATTACTCTTCATCGATGCCCTGGATTAAATAATAAGCAAAGGCATGGACAGAGGCAGGGATTTATCATTTGGAGCGTGACTTGTGTTTACACCAGAAGGGTCTTAAAGGCTTTGTCAGATAGCTAAAGCACATCTGTGGAGGCAGACACCACAGAGGAACTAGTGATAACATCCTCAACCAGGATGATAAGGACAGATTACAGGACAAAACTGAGCATAACATGCTTTGTAAAGTCTGACTTTATTTGGCTCCTCTATCCCAACTGGCTTAGGAACTTCATCTCCAAGATCTGTAAAATACTCATGCAAACAAATAGCATACCTGTGTCCAGTCAGAGAGAAGCCACTCATTGGGACAATCCTCATTTTTGCAGGCTTGTTGTGTAATGGTCCTTGGCATGGAGCAGAAGGTTTCTGGCAGCTCTAACAAGCTTCCATCTGCCCTGCGCTGCTTACAAAGTGCATCTCGCTTCTGGACACCACCGCCACAGGTCTGTGAACACTGAGAAAAGAGAGACAGCCACCTCACATCACACCACTTGCTGCAAAACTAGTTGTGAATTAGGGTAGAAATTAACACTTGGCCTTGGCCAAACAGAAAACATAAAACAAAAATTTCAGAGACCTTGAAATAGACTGCTTTTAAAATGTCAAAATTATTTTGAAAAAGGGAAGCATCTTAGTTTGCTAAGTTTTAGAAAAACTGCTTCAATATTTCTGAAGTGTCCTCTTTCAAAGTATTCTTTCAAAAGACATGGAAACAGTGAGTCAGCATGGCCCTCTCCACCTGGAAAATGAGACACTTGCATGTGATGTAGAGAATCTAAATAGTAATATCTGTGTCTGAGCTCTGACACAGTGGAAAAGTCTTGTCCAGCAGTAGACAAGTAAATTGAGGTTATTAATATCCACAGAACACACCTCCCCTCTCTCTTTAATGTAAATATCCCTCTCTGCATCCAATTTTCTACTCAAGGAGGGCAGGAAATTTTGAGTAACCAAATTTAGTAGCTTTCCTGACTACTTTTTGTAAATTTAATTGCTCAGCTTTTTTTTTTTTTTTTTTCCTCCTGAAGTCCTTTTCCTGAGGCTAGTAACAGGTTCCCAGTTCCACTCAGTTCAGCCAGCTCAACTACTTTTCTCCTTTTTTCTAGCAAAGAAAAGGGGGAGATTGCATTACACTGATATGACCTGGAATTGCTTATAGCCTGTGACATGGAAGTTATTCAAGGGAAGTAGACAATAATATGGAGAAGTATTAAAAAGTATACTTGAGCAGTTAAAAGGGGAGTGTTTTAAAAAATCTTGCGGTCATGAAAGGCTTTTCTCTCTTAGATAAAGAGCTGCATGAACTTTAATGCTAGCCTGAGTATTTAGGATAAACATTTTCTTTGAAAGACAGAGAGGAAGTGCAGAAAGACATTTTTATATTTGTTTTCTTTTAATATGTAAAATCAGCTTTTGTCTTACTTATTTAGAATGTTGCAAAGCTCAAAGACTTCAAAAAATTAAGCAGGAAAGACAGTGGTTTTCAACTAATGAAAATGAAAATGTCTATCAGCCTCCCCTTTGAGGAAAATTCATTCCTGAGGAAGGATCAAAATATGATTAAAAGTATTATTCCAATGTTGCCTAAGGACTTTTATCATATACAAGATACCAAATGGGTTACTCACTATGAATATCACAAAGTAAGTTCCTACTATCAATCAGTGAATCTTAGGAAGTCTCTTTGTCCTTCCAACTCTACCAGACATTAGACAAAATATATCTTTTCTTGCTTCTTGGACTTTATTCACTTACACAGTGTTGTTCCTGCACAGGAGAGCCCCAAGAGTCACACCAGGTGCCTGACAGCACTGTTCAAATGCTTCTTGAGCTCTGTCAGGCTGGTGCTGTGACCTCTGCCCTGGGGAGCTGTTCTAGTGCCCAACCACCCCCAGGGGGGAGAACCTTTTCCTGATATTGATCCTAAACCTCCCCTGACACAGCTTCAGACCATTCCCTCAGATCCTCTCACTGTCACCACAGAGAAGAGATCAGTGCTTTCCCCTCCTCTGCCCCTCACAAGGCAGTTGTAGACTGCTGAGGGCTCCCCTCAGTCTCCTCCAGGCTGAACAGACCAAGTCACCTCAGCTGCTCCTCACAGTTTCCTCTCAAAGCCCTTCACCATCCTCACTGTGCTCCTTTGGATGCTCTCTAACACGAGAGAGTTAGCATATCTTTCTAGCATATCCTTTGGACACTCTCTAACAGTTTAATGTCTTTCTCATATCATGACACCCAAACTGCCCCAGCGCTCGAGGTGAGGCTGCCCCAGCTCAGAGCAGAGCAGGACAATCCCCTCCCTTGCCTGGCTGGTGATGCTGTGCCTGACACACTCCAGGACAGGGTTGGCCCTCCTGGCCCTGCCACTGCTGATCCGTGTTCAGCTTGCCATCAGCCAGGACCCCTGGGTCCCTTTCCATGGTCTCCCACGTGGTTTAATTTTACACTGCTCTCTACTCAAGGTATAGAATAATATAGGTTTTTCCTTACTGTCAAAAATTAATTCTCTGCTAAGATTCCACAGTAAGATAAAGCACCTGCAAAAGGAGTAAACACTTTTTTCTCATAAGGTCTCTCGTTTCTTTTAAGGTCTGACATTTGAAAATTTAGAAGAGACATTTTATGGTAGAGATTAGAAATAGAAAGGAAAATATAAGAAAATACTACCAATTTTCCCATGCTGACTTTGTTTTAAAGTCATTGTTCTAATTATCTTTGAAGCAAAGACAGCATTCAAGAGCAAATAAAGAATGTTGGGACTGAAATTATAGCACTTATTTAGAAATAAAACAAAAGTGGATGAAGATTTACTAATGGATGTCTCCCATTTCAGGCATGCAGAACAGATATTTATAGGACCTTGTAAAATGAAAACTTAAACTCTGCTCCAGAAGTGCACAACTGAGAATGATAAAGATTCTAATGCATTTAGTTAAGACACAGAAATATTTAAATTAAATAGTCTGGAATATGTAAAAAGATGTTTTAAAAATTGTTTTTAATGATACAACACCGATAATTATTGTCTGTTTATCTACCAGAAATACCAGGGTGTTGAATGACATTTAATTCAGAAAATCCTTCCTTACAAATATAAAAGGCTTAGAAAAGAAAACAGTGGTAATTAGAGTTTAAATCTTCTGGGGTTTTTTTGTGTGTTTGCATTAAACCAGTGTGAATGAGTGTCCTGAAAAGCACCACAAACTCCACTGATGAGGCCAAAGAAATGTATTGAAATCAGGCTGTGTGGAGAACAGATTTTACACTTTCATGTTGGAGAAACTTTAAAGGACCTTCCCTAGGGTGAGGAAGGCACCTTCGTGAAGGACCCCTCATCTGCTTGTGTGGGGGGAATCCTCTCAGGAGCATGGGGAGATGGGAGGTGTTATGGGTCCCTTAATGCAAGGAAAATAATCTCTCTTCAGGTTTTCTTCTGCTGGAGTGGTCAACAGCAGTTTTGCTGCATGACTGGAGGTCACCCACAGAAGTTGTCTCAGCTACTCAATGTTTTATTTTCTTTCCATGTCTCAGAAGCCAACAATTGTAATAATCCCTAAGTGTAATGCACAAGCCTCATGGTGCAGGTTTTCAGATGGGCAACTGTGTGAGACTGAGCTGCAAGATCTGGCTTTCCTGCAGGGTGGAAATATCTGTAAAGATGATGGTGTTGCAAAAAAGGAACACAGACATCCTTATGAAATGAGAGAATGGAAATTGATTTTGATGGATTAGAGGTTTTTTTCTGGCACAGTACTCATCTGAACAGAAGCAGAAGACAGCAGGTAGAGAAGCACATTTTTTGTACCATTTCCTCCAGTGAAAGGTAAGCACAGAAAATATTCAGTGTCCAGCCTAAAAAGTCTGCGGAAATAAGGCAGAAGAGCTACAATATGACTTTTGTTGAACTTTAGCAATGAATCACAGCACAGGTTCTCTCTCGGCCCTGAGAAGATGCCAGCTAGCTACTACCAGTGTGAACCTGTGAACAATTTGTTTTAATTTCTTATTAACATAGTTGTAAAAGCTTTTATACTTAACCAATATTCCTCCTCACTAAGATCTGCTAAGCCTTTCAGAGATAGCATTTGAGAGCCCTTGAACAGCTGGAAAATTTACTTTACGCAGGTGAAAGTATGTATCTTTAAACTTGTTGAGGAAGCATATCCTAATTTTAAAATGCTTGACTTCTGTTATTATGTTAGGAACTAGTAGAAGAGTATTTGCTATTTGCAAATATAACTTTTATTACACCAATAACTTGGAAATTTTCAACAACTAAGTATATACATGTGTGTGAGTATGAGTAGACAAATTAAAACATGATATATCACTGAATTGTTTTAAGCAGAGGACTAAAGCCTTAGGCTTATTACCTAGCTTTGACAGACCATCAGACTGGAATAAATATTTTTGCTGGGTTGGTTGCCCAAACCCAAAGCTCTCCCAGCTTCATGGACTAACCAAGTTCATTAGGTAAGTACATTAATATCTCCTTGGCTGCCTGGTTAAGTGAGGAACAGATTTTATATGGGGACAGTGAATAGGCATATGTAAGCACTCTGCAAAATACTAATAGTTTTCACATAGTATAGAATGAAGACTTGCACACATCAAAAATGAAGATTTAAACAGGTGCTTTCCTTACAACTATACCACATAGCCAATTTTTCCTTTAGTCTTGACAACACTGCGAGATCTATCCTTCCTGCAGTGGTATTACTAAAACTGCTGAATTACAACCATTTAAAGAAGCATTTTTAAGTCTTTTGAATTATGCAAGCATTTTAATTTGCAACCAGATTTCAACAAATTAACTAAATTCAGAGTGCTTTATAATGATAGAAAGCCTTGTACAGACCCATTGTGTAGACAGGAATTTTTATAAATAGTGCAATAAAGCATCCATCTATCAAAGGGAAGTTTTTAACACACATTTCTTAATCTGCAGCATGTGGAATTTTTCTTGTACTAAGCAAAATTATTACTTGAGAATATATTAAGTACTCCAAATGCTTTAAAGACTCTTTTATCCTTAATCCTTCTAAAAACTTAGACATAGCTCACCCAAGTCCACTCACTGCAGCTGACCATTATATTCCAGATATTTTTGTTTGAAATCTATAGCCAGCTGTAAAGATTTTCCAATAACTTTGCACTAGAAATAGCTGGTCATTATTTGCCTCTGGAAACATTGATGCATTTTTAAGAGCAAAAAATGCACACTTTGCAGTTTCTAAATGGCTTGTCAGAATGATTTATGATTCCTGTTGATGGGCTAAAGCAAAACCATAGAATCATAGCATAGTTTGTGTTGGAAGGAATCTAAAAGTTCTTCTAGTTCCCCCCTTTGTCCCCCACTAGGCAGGCACAGCTTCCATTAGACCAGGTTGCTCAAAGCTACATCCAACCTGGCCTCAAACACTTTCAGGAATGGGACATCCACACCTCCCCCGGGCAACCTGTTTCAGTGCCTTGCTACCCTCACACTAAAATATTTTTACCTAATATCTAAACTAAATCTACCCTCTACTCTTTCCCCTAAGGTTACATGCCCTTTTCAGAAGTCCCTCTTCAGCTTTCTTGTGGGCACACTTGATAAACTAGGCTGCTCTATGCTCTCCCTGGAGCCCTCCCTACTGCAGCTCTCCAGCCTGTTTTCCTAGGAGAGGTGCTCCAGCCCTCTGACCATTGAAATGTGTGCAATGAGGAGTTTAAGAAGTCATAAAATGAGGTTAGACATGAATTCTTACCTCTTGCCATTCTGTAGGATACCAGGAGGGTGGGCAGTCAAAGCGATTACAGGCTTGCACAAGGGATGGCTTGGGTTTAGAGCACAATTCATCTGCCAAAATCACAGTCTCATTGGTCTCTCTTGATAGTAGATGAGAACATAAGACATCTCGTGTCTGCAAACCAACCCCACAGGTAAGACTGCAAGTGCTCCAATTCCCAATCTCCCATCTGTAAAGGGGTCAGCAGAGAAAATCTTAAGCACAGAAAAAATTCACCTTAATTTTTCTCTTATTATAATGACAGATGAAGAAACAGTAAATGAAAGAGAATTTTTCTTCTCTGATCAATATCACTCTGGTAGCTGGAGAATGAGCTAAGATGGATACTTGAAGTTCTGCATTTTCATCTCTTGTCAGAAGTTCTTGGACTGCAAGTCTCTGGGATTCCTGCAATATCACAGGAAATGTTTTGTGGCCTACAGTAGGATTATTTTTTTGTCTGTAAGAGCATGGTTAATGTATTTCAAAATAGAGTGGCTTTAATTAACTGGTTTTCTCCCCCTGTCTTAAACAAAAAAATAAAGAAAGATATTAACAGAAGTTTAATTAAAAGAATTTAAAACTCAAATGCTGAACACAAATTTCTTTGGTATTCCTGACCAGCTTTTCTGTGCTGTTGAGAAAGGAGGTACTAAAGCTTTAGAGATGCAATGGGAAAGCAGGGGATCATCTTCGACCCCTGGATGAGGACCTGCCACTGAACTAAAACTTCTCTGAACTAGCTATGTAAATCCTGCATAAGCAGGATTGTTGATAACGTATTTCGGTGTTCATCACCTTAAAACCAGATTTCTACTATTTGAATGGTACAACATATCATTCTCTCAGATAAACACGGAAAATTCCTTCAAATACTTCCACTCATGTATCAGATAGAAAGCACTTCAGAGATATGTAGAGATGTACACAAAAAAAAAAAAAAAAAAAAAAAAAAAAAAAAAAAATCAGTCCTATATTCAGAAAGAAAATAGCCTCCCCAACAATTCACGCAAAAGTCAGTGCTGACCTGGATATACTCCCACATCCAAAATCAAAGCACGAAAGACAGATAGTGCCATGTTTTCTAAATCTGAAGTGTAGCTTCATTTCCAGCATGACATTATTGAAAGTGATTGCTGAGAGAATAAATTAAAAATATGGGGAAAGAAAGGTTCAGAGAACTCATCTTTGAAGAAAGCAAATCCAGGCAGAAGCTTAAAGAGAGTGATTATGGAGGAGGATACCCTCAGGCTCCAAATAGGATGGAGGCTGATAAAGAAGAAAAGTCACAAAGCATGTCAGCAGAATGAAGCAGATTTTGTGGAAGAAGCAGAAAAAACCCCACTCTGATGCTCTGAGATCTACAGTCAATGGAAATAGCTCAGTGCATGTAAAACATACTATGTTAGGAAACACAGTACTCAAATAACCATTTAAGACTGTGCTATCTTGAAATCACTGAGCAATTCTAACCTCCTTTTATTTTATAAATTTATTTTTGAGCACGTTTCCTCCCTTTCAAGTAACAACCTTAACATATTTAAACAGCTAGCATGTAAGAAATTTTTTTCCTCCCTAGATGATATCCTGATGGACCAGAGGCACATTGCTCCCCTACTGTGCTCCATCTGCTGGTGACATTCTCTGATTTTATAAAATGACGTATCCTGAGCCTCACTGTAAGCACTAATGATGCTGTAGTTTGCCTTTAGACACCATTCTTGGTTCTGTTAGTAGCAATGACAACAATCTGTTTAACCCTTTCTAATAATAAATGCATCTTGTGTACTGAGTTAGAAGTTCCTGTGGTCACTTTCCAGGCCATAATACACTGAAGGACACTAATCTGTACATATGTACTGGGAGCTATTTATCATGGAAAAGGAGTGACATATGGCAGCCACTTAAACTACGATGGAATATGTTCTCCATATGAATGATCTGGGGGAAGAGGTCTTCCCAGATATTCCCATGAAATTGTCAGAATTAATGGAAATATCATCTATCATCTACCCTTCAGTTTTGGTGCAATCTAAAATGAGACATTTGAATAGGTGGTGAAAAGAAGGCATTTTCTTACTTCGGAATATATTTTGATACATTGTTAGTTGCCAAAATTTCTTTTTTTTTCAAGTGCCAGCAGAAGCTGTTGCCTCCAGCAACATTTTGTTTGTTATTGGTGTAATTGCAAAATATTTCTGTTGGCAATTCACATCTCAGTGGCTAACAAACCACATAAACCCTTTGGACATCTTGACGTCTTCAGAAGAGGGTGTCTGTTTCTTCTTCCAGAAAGAAATACTGTGTTTCCATAAAGAGAAAGGCTTTGTTTTTCCAGTGTTTGAAATTTCTGAATGCTGCAGGTTACATGTTACCCTTCCCATAATGAACTTTGTTTTTTTCACAATTCTTTCCAGCTACATTAAAGAGGAGTTTCCTTTGAGGAGCTCATGAACTGTGAGGTCAAATACTTCTTACCCTTGTATGTTTGTAGTCCCATGTGACTTTAATGGGCTTGCATAGATGGAAGGTAAAGAATGAACCATAAATGGTACACATGAATTTCAACATCCTAAGAAACACAGAGAAAACCAGTGAAAATCTTATAGAACTACAGGGCTGTGGAAATATTTTATAACAGCTAAATGTGCTTGTAACACTTTGAATTAATATTATCCTGCTAAATTTACCGTACTGTAAATTACCTGCTAAATTTACTTGTACTTTTGGAGATAATAATCTTAAAATTATATACATAATACTCTTTTTCTGTAGAAATGCTGTTTTGCCCCTACTATAGAGTGTTATGTTATGCTAACTGAAATATGTCCTAGTTCATGTGGTTCTTAGCTGTGAATTCCTCTGTGTATTTTTTCTTCTGGGTATTTTGGCCATAGTGACTCTTCCAATACACAGGGCATACAAAAAAGGATGTCCTATATGCATCTGTCAATACCAGAATTAAAATAGGAAAGAATCTTACACTTTAAAGGCCGAGTACAGCAGTTACAGAATCAAGCAAAAGGAACTTTGCACAAATGGAACTGGTAGCATTGTATGCTGCCTGGGGCTGCTGTTAAGGTATAGACTTTAGGAGCAATCTGCATACTTGCTGATTTATATAACAGCTGAAAGTCATCTGCTTGGTACTTCCCATATTACTTTTCAGAACCTGGTGAAAGAATTGCATAGATTTTTTTCCCTTCCCCTTTCTTCTTCCCTACTGCCCAAAGCTGTACTAACGTGTGGTAACAGAGAAACAATGTATTTTTAGCCTTATCATACAGTAGGACTTTGGTGCATTTATGCTACTAAACCCCTGGCTTGTCCTACCTCTAGGTCTATCAGTTCACAAATTGTCCATCTCCACATCGTAAATATCTAAGTAGTGTTTATGTATGTAAGACCAAACTAGACTTTAAAAACATTTCAACAACTGTATTTAATATGAAACACATTTCAAAATGTTTTCATCCTCTTCAGGATATAGATACATAACTCTAGTGATATACATAAAATGCACTGAATATTTGAACTGATTGAACAAAAATTATATTAATTCAAAACCACTGAGACATTTAGAGATGGCTAGCAAAGAGGAATGTAAGAGAAAAGAGGCAATTCATAGGGCTGGATGTGTTGAAATGAATATGTCTATCAGTAATATATATATCACTGATACACATATCACATGTATCACACATATGTGAACATTTCCAAATGAACATGGATGAAAAAAGGTTTCTACTGGAAATATTTAGGGAGCAGAGGATGGTCCAAAAATAGAACTTCATTCAAGTGTCATCAAAATTTCAAAACCAAAACTGATCACAGAAACTTTTAATTTTCCAAATGAATGACTTCCTTCTTCCATAAGTATATCTTAGTAGTTTTTTTAGAATTGGTTGACAATATGGACATATAATGCACATCGAGATAGCCAGACTCAGTAGTTTCTGATGTAGTTGCAGAAGTACCAGATCTGACTGCTCAAGGCAATGGTTGTCCTTTAGTTTTTCTTACACAAAATGACAAGGGAAGGGTGTATTCTAAAAACTAGACAAAATTAATGACAACCCCAGTGAACCAAAAGACTTCATTTCTTGCATTTCCAGGAACTAGAAACTAACAAATTGAATTAGTAATGGACGGATTTTATGAACAGAAAAACACCGTTTGGGAAATTTATCAGCCAATATATATTATGAATTAGACTAACAATCTGATCTACTATCACTTTTATGAATTATAACTCTAATGTCTAAAGCACCAATAAAAAATTGCTATTTTCCTGAACATTCTCATTGAATAAATTAGACTTATCTAAGGAATGTTTATATATATGCTTAATTCTATGTCAACAGTTTCTACAATTATCATGGTCAGTGCATTTAAAAATGTAAATACTCACAACTCCCCTGAATAAAATAAAGGGAACAACTTTGAGGCTCCAATGGCCAAAAAAGTCTCAATAATCTCTGCTTACCACCGCAGGACAATTATTCCATACTACTAATGTAAATCTAAAAATGTTAGAGATTCTCTCGAAAAACAGTTTAACTATGCTGTTTGTAATAGGGAAATGATCTTCACATAGTTAACAAAAATATTTCCTGTGGTCTTTGAATTAAACTTGGGCATTTGTTATCAGTTTAAACCTATTTAAAAATTCCAACACATGACATGAACATGTAAATTTGTAAAGTTCTAAACATCTAATTTTTAATTAGAAAGGAACTTTCCTTCTTTCAATAGAAAAAAACAGGCATCAATATCATATTGTACCCCAGCAGTTCAGGTGAAGAGCTGGAGGATCAAGAGAGCAGGATCTTGTTCCTGGCTCTTTGCTAACTCCAGAGATGAGTGACACCAGGACTGCTGAAACATGGGCTACCTGTGAGTGTGGGTATATTCCCCCTAAGTCCAAAGGGAATAGTAAAGTACTGAGCTGGACTGTACCATTCTCCCACCTATGTCTGAACTTCATAGTCACAAAATCACAACAGTACTTTAGTGTGGTTTGTTTTTTTTACCCCTTGCCGTGTCCATGCTGCCTGCTTAGTTAGTAACCTGACAGCAAAGATGTTATCTTATTTTGTCTTTTGCTACCAGCTAGCACAATGGGAGTCTTAGCTTGATAGGAGCCTCAAGGCATTATTGCGTCATGAATAACAACAACAGGGGACAAGA